TAGACTGAACTGGAGAATTTTATCAAATCAATTATTTTTGTCTGTCTATAATTTGCAAGTGATATTTTAATTTACTATATTTCATAGTTAAATTATTAAACCTCTGTTGTTTATTTAAAAACCTAAAGAATGTAGTGTAGAAAATTGAAAACTGAACTACAAAGTTAAAGACAAAGTAGTGGATTTGGAAATTCTATTATTCTGCTATAGTCCCAGTATGGCTCTTTATAGCTTGAAAGAACTTTGCAATTTGTTTTTATGTTGCTTTGTGTGAATGTTTTTGTGTATTTAAGCATGTAGTGGTGAATTTTATAAGACACGTTAGAGGCACGTTACAGATACATAAAGCAATTCAGCTTGCTGAAGTGCTTTATGTCTCTGTAGTTTGTCATTTAAAGAAAACATTTTTTATAAAAGTGTATGCTCATAGACAGTGCTGTATTTTGAATGAGGCTAACAAGGCATTTGCCTTGAGTGACACTTTCAGGTGGGTGGCAAAAAATTCCACCCCCCCAACGCCCTGGCTGATGCCCTGTTAGCCTCTTCCAGGGGCCCTAAGAGCTGGCCACCTCAGGGCTCCACCTAGGAGCTCAGCTGCTCACATTGCGGGCGGGCTGCAAGGGAGTGCTGTCCTCTGAGCTCTTTTTGCTCAGCTCCCTCACGCATCATTCTGGCTCCCGGCATCACTATGCAGCGCTGAGCAGGAGCATTACAGCTCCCATGTCGCTTCCAATGACGAACCGACCACCTGCTTGCCTGCCGAGCAGCCAAGCCAGCAGGAGTGTGAGTAGGAGTTACAGGATGTGTGGGACTGTGACAGGGTCTGTGTGTGTGGGGGGAAAGTGGGGATGAAGGTTGTGTGTGTGTGGAGGGCAGGTGACAGGGTGTGTGGGGGGCTGTGACAGGCTGGGGCAGCTGTGTCAGGGTGTGCTTGGGGTGTCACAGTGTCGGGGAGGCTGTAATAGAGTGTGGGGGTGCTATGAAAGGGTGGGGGCTGTGACAGGTGAGTGGGGAGGGGGGCTGTGACAGGGTGGGGTAGTTGCCTTGGGAGGCACTTTCAGGGGGGTGGCGAAAACGTCCCCCCAAGCACCCTGGCAGATGCCTTGCTAGCCTCTTCCATTGGATGCCCAAGAGCTATCAGGCTGGCCACCGCAGGGTCCCCTGAGGTGCTCAGCTGCTCACATTGTGGGCGGGAGGGAGCGCTTCCTGCTCAGCTCCCTCGCGCCCACAATGATGCTGGGAGCAGGAATATGACATTACTCCAGCTCCCGGCATCACTAAGCAGTGTGCGAGGGAATTGAGCTAAGATTACAGCTCTCTCGCCATCTCCATTGACGGGCCAACCGACCGACAGACCACCTGTCTGCCCGTCTGCCCAGCAGCCAAGCCAGCCCAGCCACCAGCAGCCAGCCCCACTGGACCCCAGGGAAGAATCCACGCCAGATACAAAAAAGAAGAAAAGTGAATGGCGCTTACACAGTAAAACAGGAGCACAGTTGGAGTGGAAAGGGTGTTCCCCAACACCCTAAAATCAAGTAATAGAAAAAGGTACTAAAAGCAACAAGTGCCAAATACACACACCACTCCCTGTGTATCAAAACAGGCAATAATAATACTTATACATGTACAGGTACATATAGGAGATGGTCCATATAAAAACCTATAAAGATAAAAAATAGTCCATATAAAAACCTATAAAGATAAAAAATAGAATCCACGCCAGCTCTCCTCAAGGTAGGGAGACTGTGTGGATTTAAATAAAAAAATATAAATATATAATTTGTTAGTGTGCGAGACAATGCGTGTGAATGTAAGTATCATAGTGTCTGTTGGTGTGTGTCGGTGAGTGTATGTCTGTTAGTGAATGTATGTCAGTGTGTGTCTACTAGTGTCTGTCTGTCAGTGAATGTGTGTGTGTGTGTGTGTGAACCTGTAGTGAGTGCCTGTAGTGAGAGAGTGAATGTATGTGTGTCTGTCAGTGTGTGACTAAATGTGTGTCGGTCAGTGAATGTGTGTGTCTGTCAGTGTGTGCCTGTCAGTGAATGTGTGTGTGTGTGTGTTTGTGAGTGAATATATTTGTGTCTGTCAGTGTGTGAATAAATGTGTGTGTCTGTCAGTGTGTGAATAAATGTGTTTCTGTCAGTAAATGTGTGTGTCTGTCAGTGAATGTATGTCATTGTATGTGTATCTGACAGTGTGTTTCGGTCAGTGAGTGGGTGTGTCAGTGTGTGTCTGTCAGTCAAACTGTGTGTTGGTCTTAAACAGGAAGAGGTACGGCCTTGATAGGAAGGGACACGGCAAAGTTAGATTGGGGGGTGCCCGAGTTTCATTATGCCTAGGGCAGCACAAATCAAAACTACAATACTGCCCTTCCATGTGTCTCATTTTCCCCCCCAGCCCCTTTATGTGTCTTATTCTCCCCGCAGCCCCTCTATGTGTCTCATTACCCCCAGCTCCTCCATGTATCACGTTCCCCCTAGCTCCACCGTGTGTCTCACTCCCCCCCTGTGTTTCATCCACCCATGTGTCTCTTACCCCCCATGTGTCTCTTATGTGTCTTATTCCCCCAGACCCTCCATGTGCCTTATCCCCCCATATGTCTCATTACCCCCAACCCTACCGGTGTCTAATCCAACCTCCCTGCTCCTCTATGTGTCTCATTCCCCAACTTTCAGGCACTCTGGGTGTCTCATTCTCTCCCAAGCCCCTCCATGTGTCTCATACCCCCAACCCTTCTATGTGTCTCATTCTACCCCCAGCACCTTCATGTGTCTCATGGCCCCACCCCTTCTTTTTTCCTGCTGACCTCCATCGAGCGGACTTCAATAGAGGATCTTCTGTTTGTGCACTTCCTGGCAGACCAGGTAAAGGATACAGAGGTTCCTCTAACCATGGCCTGCTTGGCCATACTGCATGCAGTGACTGGCAGGAGGGGAGCTTTGTGCTAGCCTCTCCTGCCAGTCACCCAGAGACTGCACTCCCTAAGCTGTGCAGCTGTGCACCGGCCCTGAAGTTAGTGGGCCAGTCTGGCCCTGTGCATCAGCAGGGGTCGACATTGCACCCGGGCCTCCTTGAGTGATTGGCTCAGTTGCAGCTGTGGCCACTGTGACCACTGGTAGTTCTGCCACTGCCAAAGGGTGGAAACTGGCATTTTCAATGATTTTGCTTTATTCTTATAACCACTTTCCATTTCGTGAAGCTCAACAGCCTTTTGCCACACATCACTTATATTCCTTGGTCTTACTCATTGTGATGAATTACTAAGAAAACGTGGCCTATGTGTTACCTCATATTTATACCCCTGTGTGGTTGAACAATTTCCTGTTGCTGGTCACATAGGTATGCTAAAAAATGTAAATTATCAATGGGAATATACTTCAAATATAATTTTTCTCATATAAATTCATAGGGGTGCCGTTAATTGTGCCACACATATATTTAACAAAGATTTTTTTAATAAACCCGTGTTGTGTTTGTGATTGTTTGAGATCCATGAGAGCAGAGTATTGTTGTGTATTTTTTCAACAAAAGATCAACCATTCATTTTTTTAAGTCTTCACTCATATTTACCAAGTGTTCCAATTTTAGTGGAGGGCACTGTATATACAGATATATATACACACACAGTATAAATAGTCTTAGGGTAGGATCTGCACTAGGGGTTTCAAATAATCCACCTACCTTGCACTATTTACAAGGTAAAAACTAAACTTGAATTTTATTTATGGTCAATGTTTCAACTGAAAAAGAAAACTTTCATGACTAACAACATTAAAGAATGGCAACAGTTTGGTTGCTGCTAACTTAAGAATACTATGGATTTTGAATAGAAAATACAAAAAAAGTCTTCCTAGACTCTGCAAAGTACCATTAGATGGTGCACATATCACATATAAATTGTGCTTTTTCCACAAAGAAATGTTAATTTTTTAAAACTTCCATTTTGTATGTTTAATGTTGTTTACTGTTGTTATTTCAGCCTGAAAAAAAGTGCACTGTGGTCCCCGTTTGTCCGTCCTGCAATCAGCTGACTGTGCAGGTTTTCCCAGTGACCTATGAAAATTCAGATGCCATACAAACCAGAGCAGATCACCCTTTGGCATTGCCAGTCGACCATTGTCAAACCTGCCTTCAAGATAAAAATAAACACCAACCCACTAGACCCTCAATATTGACTCGTGCACAGAACTTCAAGTGTTTTGCATGCACTTGCCCCACCATGGATGGAAAAACAGTCTGCCAGCACTATTACGCCTTGTCTATAGTATGCTGGTTGGCAATTATTCTTACTCTGATCATTGTGATAGCAGCAACAATACACCATGGATGAAAAACACAAGAATCCAGCCACAGGAATCTGTCAATGAATCCTCCCATTTATTTTTGCAATAAACAACTTGACTTAATCCTGAATATTGAGGTGCTCAACCCAGATCAGATATGTTGCAATTGATTTCACTTTTTTTTTTTAATGTATTGCTGCCTTTACTGATATTTTAACTAGGTATTTCCCAACATATCAACATGATGGGTGATGGGCAGTGATTTTCAAGTAAATTTTGTGTATTTTGTAAGTTGGAGTTGTAATACTGGCCGAGTTCCATTCTCAAAGCATGATTAATAAATTGATTGAGGCAATAATGGTTAATATGTATGAAAAGCATTGGATTTGACCACGACCGAGCAGCAGTGAGGATGGGCTAGTGTTGTATTTTTAAAATTTCATTATATAATGCTATAACCTTGTTATAGCGCTCAGACTAAGTAAATAATTACACAGAATTAAGCATGCAAAAAATACAGATATTATTTTAAAAAATACATAAATACATGTTTTGCAGCATTCTGTACCTTATTCCTGCCTTCCCTGTCCCATCACCTCCCATACTTCCTTCTTGGTGGTTACTGTATCCATGTAGATAGTATCACAGCCACAGCTCCTTTTCATTACCTTCTTCACAACCTGTGACAACAGTTATTTAATTAGTCAGGATGTATAGAAAATGTTTCTGGGAGTTGTATTTCAGTTAATAGCTTTCATATCTTAAAGTGTCATAATTGAACTACAAGTTCCAGAAACCCAGGCTACTGACTATGTTCTCTATATCATGGCACAAGGAACAAAAATGTTTTTTTTTTGTTTTTTTGTTGTTGTTGTTGTGGGGATAGGGCTTCCTCAAAATAACTACCCACTGGCATAAACACCCTTTAGGCAAGTATGCACAATAAATGTAAACTCACTCTTGTTAGAAGCCAATAGTTTCCAGTTAGATTTATGAAGATAAATGTTATACAATAATACATTGTAGAAATCAGAAGACTTACATTTTTTGGGCAGGATTTAAAATATGGGTAGGCCACGGGGAGAGGGAGGCACAGTGACATATCTGAGAGTATACATTTTGCACACTTGCATAACTTTTTACTTCTGTTTTGTCCCCCCTATTATTGCACAGTTATACTATTGCTCTTTTTGGTGTCTCGTAGTTTACATTACGGACCGCCCTACCATGTGTTGACACTGGTGCTACCTTCCGCAGCTGATGATCTAAGTTCCAGTGACAACACTTCCCCTCCCCAATCGCCCATGGTACAATGGGTATTATTTGATGAGGAGCATTTTGCTAAGGCGAATCGGTGCTTAAAACCTCATAATTCACTTACTAGATCCATGGGCACTGGAGACATCTTTTATGCTCCTACAAAAATGGGCCACACAATGGCAAACATTTATGGACATCGTGACCTGCGACTCCATAACTGCTCCTAAATCATATCCATGACTGCTGTCTTCTATCTGATCATTTATAAACTCTCTACATTGAGGTTCTTCACATCACTATAATAGGTATATCCCTAACCCGCTTTAAATAGCAGTTTCTTTTGCAGCGACAAGACCGATTAATATATACTGTATGTACTTCATTAGCTTAACTGTACCTTCCTAGATTGTTTAAGCTAGAAAATGAGTCAGGATTGCACAGGATTCTGCATTAATGTACATGTGTAACATCTGGCTGATATGTGATTTGCATAAGTAACCCCATTTTCTTATTTCTGTACCATGTCTTTCAATGCCTCGATAAAAAAAAAAGAATGATTTGGGGGCCGGAAGGGGAAGACAGTATGTCCCCTCTGTGACCAATGCTCTTTTCCATGAACGTTTGTCACAAACATCTAGAAGAGTGTGGAAGCTGGCCTCCTGCCCACCGACTATGGTCTGGGTTCTGAGACACCACTCAGGAGTTAACCTGCCCTGTCGCTCCAGCGACTTTCCCTCTAATGAATTGAACTGAAAGCTCGCTCTGTTTGCATGAACAAACCCACGAACGGTCCTCAGCGATACATGCCCGTGATCGCTATGGAACTATTTATGGAAGGAGGACTTTGCGGTTCCCAGTTGTATTGTTTTGGTGGTTTGACCAACTTGCCGACCCGCCAGGAGAGTGTTTTCTTGAGGGAGGGTGACTGAGACTAAGAGGAACCAACGCGCTCTGAGAGCCAGATTGAGTACCCTGTATTTCGGCCGCAGGAGCTCCCGAAAGTTGACCTCCCAAAGCACATATTGCTCTAGAACTATTTTGGGCATAGGACCACGTGTGCAGCCAATCATAACTTTACCTCGGTCGCAATTCCCCTACAATGCATGGATCTGAGCGCTATTTGGACAACTTGGGTGCTCAGATCAAGGATATAGGACATGTGGGGTTACTGTCTGTTTTGGTGTACTTTTATGTTTAGCTCTCTGTATCTGGGAGATAATTAACTTACCAGTCTTTAACTCAATTATCTCTCAGGCACAGAGACTCCTGGGAAGGGGCTTGTATTGTGTTGTATGGGGTCTGTGCATAAAAAGCAGAGTTTGGTTTATTAAAATCAGCTTGGGAGGGAAATTGCTATTTACTGCTCAGCGTCTTGTTCCTGCTAGTGGAGGATTCAGCAGGGAAAGTCATTGTAAGGACTATAGCTCCCAGGACTCCTGTCGTCCAATTCCTGGGAGGGAATAGAGCTAGTTTCCTATCCTGTTCCAGGATAGAGAGGCTCCAGGAAGACCCCAGTCAAGCCACGGTGACTGGAGCAGAAGCACTGCAGTTTCCCTGGTTCCAGCTAGGAAGCGATCCTTGGCAGAGGTACTCAGCTGGGGTACAGGGAGCTTCGCTACACCCCCCCCCCCACACACACTTTTTTCATAGAAGGGACCCCACCTGCCACCTATCTGTGGGGGCCAGGGGGGGAAGACAGTAGGTCCCCCCTCTTTTGCCACTTGAAGGCACACCCCCGCGGCTGATGGGTGGGGGCCAGGGGGGACAATAGGTCCCTGTTTAGTTTAATAGCCACAAGTTAAACTGGGCATGCACAGGAATTTCAACGTGCTATCTAGTGTGGGCAGATGATGTTTCCCACAGCGCCTTCATCTGCCCACAGAAAGGTGGCGGCACCCAGGACCTAGGTCTGGGAAAGAAATCAACCGGTTAAAAAGGGTGAAATGCAGTTCCTAGAGGGACAATTAGATGTAGTGGAGTTGGGAGGAGGTGATAGTACAGCTTTATGCCTCAAATATAACTTCGAAATAGTCTTTATTCGATACTTCTATGTATTTAAGCTAATTAATTTCAGGCAGGAGTACATGCATTTGAAAATATACAAATACAGCGAATAAAAATACATTATATATTAGTTTTGCAATTACCAGTCCGAATCAGTAATGTTCAAAATTATACATCTCAATGCACTGTTTTTGTTTAAATTTAAATCAATAGTTTTTTGTTTTTTTTGCAATTGACAATTTTTTTATTTTGTCTTAAGTCAAAAACATGGGGGTACAGAATGAGGAAAAAGGAGGGGGGAGCATGTTGCAGGCTGAGTTACACAGACAATAGCTATGTGTAATCATATACATACATGTACAACACGGAGCAACATCTACATACATGCGTAACATGGATTTCCTTGGTTCTAGAGAGTCATTGATATTTTACCGAAGCTTTCCATTTATAATTTGCGAATACATGGTGTGTTGTTGATCGGTTCCCTTTTGTTGGTTTTGGCCATAATTAAGGCATTGGGTTGTGTAAAGTTCTTTGTTTGTGTCTAATTGTCTACCTGGGGTTCCTTTATGTGTTGGTCCATCATGGGATGGGGGGTGCTTGTACAAATGTCTGGTTCTGCTGTTTACCCTTGTCATGCATTGTGGTTCCCTCCCGCTGCTAGGTTTGTTGATGTTTTGTATTTGGCTACCTCTGGGTATCATATCTTGGGTTTGCTATGCTTTGCTTGGGTGCTGTGTCGTTGCCTGTTGGCACTCCTCATGGTGCCTCTTTAACCAAAATGTGTTGTGTTTTATTTTATTTTTTTTATTTTTTTTAATTTTTTAAATTTTATTTATTTATTTATTTATTTATTTTCCCTCTCAAGGGCCGTTGGTCGCGCTGGAGTAGTTGTGGTTATGTGTTATAGTGGGTGAGCTTATGGTATGTTGTACCCACAGGTCGTGTGCCTCCAGTACCCCTTTTCGTACTCCGAATTGCGTGTTGGCCATTTTTTCGTAAGCCCAGTTTTGGTCTACCTGCTTTACGAGATCTTCTATAGGTGGGGTCATTGTTTTTTTCCAGTGTCTGGATATCACTAGGTTAGCTGAGATTAGTGTGTGGTATATTATCAGCTTGACTTGTTTTGGTATTTTTTCTGGTAGGATAAATAAGAGACACATCTGTGGTTCATCTACCCTTGGGGCTGGCAGGATCTTCTGCAGTATATTTGCTACCCCTTCCCAAAATGGTCTGAGTATGGTGCATGTCCACCAGACGTGTATCATTGTTCCCACCTCCCTCCCGCACCTCCAGCATCTGTTGCTGGTTGTAGGCCATATTTTGTGCAATTTGTCTGGTACTAAATACCAGCGGTATAGGATTTTACGCTGTAGTTCCAGGTGTGTAGCACATGCTGTAAGCCCCTTATGGGCTATATATGCTCTCTCCCATTCCCTATCTGTTATTATTCTGCCTATATCTCGCTGCCATGACAGCTTTATCTCTCCTAGTGTGTGTGATTGTTGCGCTAGTAATTTTTGGTATCCCCAGGACATTATTTTCTTGAGTGGTGTAATTCCCGTGCATTGTTTTTCGAGTTCTGTCATGTGTGTCATAGCCGTGGTGTCCGTTAGTTTCCCTGATTTGTCTAATACATAAGATTTGAGCTGGAGGTAGGAGAATATTGCTCTAGTGGGCAGGTTGTGCCTATCCTGTATGTCTGGGAATGGTAGTATTCGACCCCTGTCTATAACTTGGTACACGTGGTGTATACCGCCCTTCGCCCACATGTCCCAGGGGAAGGTGGGGATCTCCTGTCCAATAGTGCGCATTGGCGTTGCTAGGGGTAGTGTCGGTCTTGACACTAATTCGTATTTCATTTTGTTCCAGACTTGCAGTAGGGTTTTGGTAGTTGGTAGGAGATCGTCCAGCCCCCGGTTGTTGTCTGTCCGTTTCCACATTAGTGACCTTAGGTCCCTTTGTGGTGCTTTGCTAGCTTCAATTGTCACCCACTGTGGGACGTCTGTAAGCCGGTTGATTTGGGTGATGTTATGTAGGTAGGCTGCCCTGTGGTATGCTGTTAGGTTGGGTAGGCCTAATCCTCCATTTTTTACTGATTGATATAGCGTACCCGCTGCTACTCTTGCTTTTTTTCCCTCCCAAATGAATGAATTGATAGTGTGTTGCATGTTTTTCAGGTATTGTTTTGGTATGGGTATTTGGAGTGTACGGAAAAGGTATTGTATCTTGGGGATAAGTGACATTTTGACTGCTGCTACACGGCCCAGCCACGACAGGTACTTACCCCTCCATGTGTGTAGGGTGTCTGAAAATTCTTTCAGCATTCGGGCATAATTGTGTCGGAACAAGTGGGCTGGGTTCTTGGGTATTTTGAGACCCAAGAACGTTAGGTAGTCATGTCTCCAATCTAGAGGGAATGCCCTCTCCAGTCTGTTTGTGAGATTTTCACCTAATTTTATTCCTAGGGCTTGGGTTTTCGTGACATTTAACTTGTAATAGGACACTGCCCCGTACTCTTGGATTCTTGTCATCAGTTTTGGTAGGGAGATTATGGGGTGCATTAGCGTTACTAGGATATCATCCGCGAACAAGTTAAGCTTGTATTCGTTATCCCCCAGGTGTATTCCTTGTATGTCTGGGTCGGCTCTAATGGCAGCTGCCAGGGGTTCCAGTGCCATGATATAGAGTAGCGGTGATAGGGGGCACCCCTGTCATGATCCATTGGTGATGTGTATTTGTTTGGATACAAACCCAGAGTTTAGGACTTTGGCTGTGGGGTGTGAGTAAAGTGCTCGGATGGCGTTAATAAAGGTTGGGGGGAATTTGTATTTGCCCAGTACTGCCTGCAGAAAAGGCCAATTGAGCCTGTCAAAAGCCTTCTCTGCATCTAATGATAAGAGTATCCCCCCCTCCCCTCTTCCGATCAGGCTATACAACAAGTCAATTACCTTCCTGGTGTTATCTGATCCTTGTCTGCCTTTTGTAAAGCCCACCTGATCGTCATGGATTAGTGTTGGGATTATGTTGGTTATTCTATTTGCTTGTACTTTTGCATAAAGTTTAATGTCTGTGTTGAGTAGTGAGATTGGTCTAAGGTTTTGGCTGCATGTGGGTGGTTTCCCTGGTTTGGGCAGCGTAACTATGTGTGCGCTCAGCATCTCTGCCGGTGCCTCTGCTTTGAGAGTGATTGCGTTGAAGACGTTTGTTAGGTGTGGGGCTAGAGTGTGTGCGAATTTTTTGTAGTAATTGTTGGGGAACCCATCTGGTCCTGGGGCTTTCCCGCTCGGTAGGCGAGATATAGCCTGAAGTACTTCTTCTACTGTGATAGTATCCTGTACTGTGGCTATTTGTTCCTCAGTCAGTGACGGTAGAGAGACCCCTGCTAGGTATTTCTGTATTTTGTCTATGGTTGGTTGACTTGTGTCAGCGTTTTCCCCAAGATTATATAGGGATGAGTGGTAATCCGCAAAGACATCCCCAATGTCCTTGGGCGTCACCTTCTTTTCCCCTGTATGATTTTGGATGAATGGGATCTTAGTGTTCGCGTTTCTGTGTGACAGTCTCCTAGCTAGTAATTTGCTCGCCCTATTACCCTGTACGTATTGCGTGGTCTTAAGTTTCCTAAGGTGATATCCTGTTTTTGCCAAGTCATGTTCCTTAATTTCCCCTAATTTTTCCTGAATTTGTTGTTTAAGTTCTGGAGTTGGTGTCAGCTGATTTTGTTTGTTGAGAGTATACAGTGTCTTTAGCCAGTGTTTTGTTTTGGCTTGGGACTCACGTTTCAGTGCGCTCGCTCTGCCTATAAGGCATCCTCTGATAACCGGCTTGTGTGCCTGCCAAAGGGTCTCCGGTGTTATTCCGGGTGTTTGGTTGTCGGTAAAGTATCTGTGCATGTCAGTGGTGAGGTTTTCACAGAATTGGGAGTCATGCAAAAGGGTCTCGTTCAGTCTCCAGGGACTCCTGTGTTTATAGTCATATGCATCTTGTAGTTCTAAAGTAATTGGGGCGTGGTCAGACCATGTGATGTTGCCTATCGAGCATGCTTTTAGTTGGTTGATGAATGTGCCCTTAATGTAGAACCCGTCTATCCGGGAATAAGTGTTGTGGACCTGGGAAAAAAAAGTATAATCCCTTTCCTCCGGGTGTAATACCCTCCATGCGTCATATAAGTCGTGTTCGCTAAGTAGTCGAACTAAGGGTTTGCATTCTCGCGTGAGGGTTACGTTTCTTGGTGTGTTTGGTCTTACCGTTGTGTCTCTTTTGGGGTCTAGTATATGGTTCAAGTCCCCACATATGATCGTGATACCCCTCTGAACTCGCGTTAGGCGCGTTATGATTTTGTGCAGGAAGTTTCTCTGGTTGGCATTTGGTGCGTAAATGTTTACAATTGTGTGTTCTAAATTGTTGATCTCACACGTCAATATTATGTACCTCCCCTGCGTGTCTGTGTCCTCGTATAGGGGCTTGAAAGATACATCTTTGCTGATCAGTATAGAAACCCCTTTGGTTTTAGATGTGGCTGTGCTATGATATTGTACCGGGTACTGTGCTTGTGCTAGGTTGGACGCCTTTTTAAGATGCGTTTCTTGTAGACATACTATGTCCGGATGAGTTTTGCGTAGGTCTCTAGTTAGGCAGTATCTTTTTACTGGGGTGTTCAACCCCTTGACATTATGGCTGTATATTTTCATATTTTAGTAAGTAAGTTTTATAGGTATCAGGTGCTCCTGTCAGTATATGTTGCACCATGTTGATATACGGTTTCCCCAAGGGGACCGTGTGTGTGTTGCCCCCTTGGTTCCCACCGCGGGGCTCTGCAATGCCTGGGGTTGGGATTGGGATGGAAGGGGATAGGGTTATGGAATTAGCTATACAAACATCATACATAACATTCGAATAGAACAAAACAGTGTATGCAATAACAAACATTTTGACAAACATTTCCCACTGAAGGGTGTTGCACTACCGTGGTAGTGCAGGGTGTGAGCGTGGCTATTTTGTCAACTTTTAAGGTGTGGTGTGGTTGGTTGCACCTAGGGTGCCCGAACCTTTCCATCTCTGTTTTCATGTGCGTTTCGCTGTTTGCGCTGTGTATTTACCGGCTATCACTGTGGCGTGAGGTGTAGTGGCTTGTTTTTTTTTTTGTTTTTTTTTTGTGTGGTTGTGTGCTCGTCAGGCCATCTTGGCCTATTTGTGTGTGGTACGTGTATTGTGTTGGATGTGCATAGGTAAGCATGTAGTGCTGGGAATACTTGCGCCTCGCTGTCTGCCAGACATCAGGCTCTGCTACGGTGGTATCAGCAGAAGGAGGAAGAATTAAAAATGTCTGTGCTAGTTCATTTCTTGTTTGTTTTCCATTCTGGAGGTATTCTTAGTGCTGTGGTCGTGTCCTTCCTCTCCGTATTCGGCATAATGTTCCAGCTGCGCAGCAGTTTGCGGCCTTCTTCTGGTGTGTTCACCGTGGTCACCGTGCCATTTCTCCTGATTAGAAGGCGGATAGGGAATCAACATCTGTACTGTATGTTGTTGTGGCGGAGGGTTTCTGTCGTTTCCCTAAATTCCTTTCGTTTCTGCAAAGTGGCTGCAGAGAGGTCGGTGTACATTTTGATATTCTTGTACTTCTGTGGCAGCTCTCCGCCCGTTCTTGTTGCTTGGAGGAGTGCTTCCTTAGCGTGGAAGTAGTGTAGGTGTGTTAGTACATCCCTGGGGGTTTCTTGTGGTAGGAACGCTGGCTTTTGCACTCTGTGGTGTCTGTCCAGCAGCAGAATGTTAGCTGGTATATCTGGTGCTAGTGCCTTAAAGTACCCCATTAGGTATTCGTGTAGGTCCTGCTGCTTCACCTCCTCAGGGATGCCTCTGATCCTGAGGTTTTGTCGTCTTGAGCGGTCCTCCAGATCCATAACCTTCCTCTGTGTGAGGTCAAGTTGTTGCTGCAGATCCTTCACATGCTCTGCCATTTCATTATGCACCGTGACTTGTTCCTCCATGCGGTTCTCCATGTGCCGTCCTGTCCCCCAGCTCCTGCATCTCTCTTTTCATCTCTCTCAGTGTGCCTTGCAGGGTTTCCCGGATCTTGTGGGACATATTGTCTAGGCACTTCTGTAAGAAGTCCTGGGTCACTGGCAGGTTTTGCTCACCTGGGGAGGTTAATAGTGGCAGCGTGTCGTTACCTCCGTCTCCATCTTGTTCCTGTTCGGCTAGGCCCATTGATTTTGGCGTCGGCGCCCGGGTCGCGAAAAAGCCGGCCCGATCATTTTTTTCTGCTTGTTTCTTGGCTTTTTGTGCTGCCATGTCTGTGGGGTCGTGGGTAGTGAATTTGGTAGCCGGTACTGCTTAGAGTATGCTCTGTCGGGCTGTCGGTGCGCGGAGCTCAGCACACTGCGACCATCCGCTTCGCCCGTCAGGCCACGCCCAATAGTTTAATTTTAATCTTCTTAAAAAAACATTATAAAACAACTTCACCTACTATAGGGAAACAATACCTATAATCTGAATATGTTAACTGCGTACAATGTATGCTCCATCTCAACTCCCATTCGTGCATATGTGAGAGCTGGCCTTGCCCAATGCAAGAATATTCTTAAATTTAAAAAAAAAATTAAATACATAAAAGCATCAGATTTTAACCAAAACCTGCAGTCTTACAAGAGAAAAATATATGGGGATAAGTGCTCTGTTAGACATCTTCATAAAAGAGGAAAATTAATAAAAATGCTATTTTTTTAATTTATTTTTTTACATTGCTACTGATAGAAATTTCACCTTCTCTCATTGACCAAAGCCATCTCTGTGGAAGTCCCAAGCAGTTGTAAAGAACATTAATCTAAAGGAACACTAGAATCAGAAACACAAACGTTTGCCATGCCCCCTCTTAGTAAAGGTTAATACTTACCTTTGTTCCAGCTTCACGTGAATCTGCTGGGGCTAGCCCTGGCCCCTGTCCCACCCCCAATTCACCTCTTCGGTTGATATCATAGCAAAAGCATTGGTTTGGCTGAGATCGCCAAAGAGGCTTGGTGAGGACGGGGTCAAATGCTAGCCAGGCCAATCTTCATGCAGAGGGTGGTGACACTGTCCAGCACTGGCCCAGGAAGCACCTCTAGTAGCCATCAGAAGAGTGGCCACTGGAGGGGTCTAGGCTTTAATGTAAACACGGCGGTTTTCATGAAAATGCCTTCAGGGACTGTCTATACTCACCAGAACAACTACAATGAGCTGTAGTTGTTCTGGTGTCCATAGTGTCCCTTTAATATTGTTTTAGCCACATTGTAACAATAATTCGGTCTGATGAGCAAAGTTAATGCAATAAGAAAGCAATTTGGGTGCTAAGATTCATTCTAGAGATTGCTCCTTTAATTTTTCTTTAAAAAAAAAAAAAACACACTTCATATTTTTGCTTTTCCTGATGCAATTTCCATATTTTGCTCCTTTTGCCTAGTCATTATTATTATTATTTTTGGTATTGAACAATAGGTAAATTTAGACCCTACTCAAACAAGTCTAGATGAACCCAATAAGGACCTGGGGAATTTCTTTGTTGCTTTGTCGATGTGGGATTGCTGGTCCTGCTCCGGAGCACTGGGTGGCTGCTGGGATTGAGTGCGGCAGGAAAACAAACATTTATTCCTGACCCTATAGTGCTAAACCCACCATTTAGGTGGTTTGCCATGTCTCCTCTCCTCCCCGTATCCTCCCTCCCATTAGCCCCCCTATAAAAAAACAAAAAAAAAAACCTTATTTTCAGCGCTGCACTTGCTCTGTCCCCTTTGTGACATTGAAATGGCCACACAGGGGCGAGGCCAAATTACATTTTGGACAATCAGGACCTCCTCATAGAGATGCATTGAATCAATGCATCTCTGTGAGGAAAATTCTGCATCTCCATGTAGAACATGGGGACGCTGAGCGGCAGGGCTGCTTACTGTGCAGCCCTGAGCCAGGAAGCCCCTCCAGTGGCCATCTAAGGAGTGGCCACTTGGAGGTGTCCTTAGGGCAATGTAAACACTGCCTTTCTCTGAAAAGGCAGGTTTTACATAAAAATGCCTGAAGGGAGCTATTATACTCACCAGAACTACATTAAGCTGTAGTTGTTCTGGTGACTATAGTGTCCCTTTAACTTTATTTAAAGACCAATACATTTTCTGCTCATTCATAGAAACATAGAAACATAGAATGTGACGGCAGATAAGAACCATTCGGCCCATCTAGTCTGCCCAATTTTCTAAAAACTTTCATTAGTCCCTAGCCTTATCTTATAGTTACTAGGATAGCCTTATGCCTATCCCATGCATGCTAAACTCCTTTTACTGTGTTAACCTCTACCACTTCAGCTGGAAGGCTATTCCATGCATCCACTACCCTCTCAATAAAAGTAATAATACTTCCTGATATTATTTTTAAACCTTTGTCCCTCTAATTTAAGACTATGTCCTCTTGTTGTGGTAGTTTTTCTTCTTTTAAATATAGTCTCCTCCTTTACTGTGTTGATTCCCTTATATATTTAAATGTTTCTATCATATCCCCCCTGTCTCGTCTTTCCTCCAAGCTATACATGTTAAGATCCTTTAACCTTTCCTGGTAAGTTTTATCCCGCAATCCATGAACCAGTTTAGTAGCCCTTCTCTGAACCCTCTCTAAGGTATCAATATCCTTCTGAAGATACGGTCTCCAGTACTGTGTACAATACTCCAAGTGAGGTCTCACCAGTGTTCTGTACAATGGCATGAGCACTCCCTCTTTCTACTGCTAATACCTCTCCCTATACAACCAAGCATTCTGCTGCTCTATTACATTGTCTGCCTACCTTTAAGTCATCAGAAATAATCACCCCTAAATCCCTTCCTCATATGTTGGGGGTTAGGACTCTATCAAATATTCTGTACTCTGCCCTTGGGTTTTTACGTCCAAGATGCATTATCTTGCACTTATCCACATTAAATGTCAGTTGCCACTACTCTGACCATTTTTCTGGTTTACCTAAATCATTTGCCATTTGGCTTATCTCTCCTGGAACATCAACCCTGTTACATATCTTAGTATCATCAGCAAAAAGACATACCTTACCATCAAGACCTTCTGCAATATCACTAATAAAAATATTAAAGAGAATGGGTCCAAGTACAGATCCCTGAGGTACCCCACTGGTGACAAGTCAAGCTTCGAATATATTCCATTAACCACAACCCTCTGTTGCCTGTCACTGCCTTAGCCATTCAACAATATTGGAATCCAAACTTAAAAATTGCAGTTTATTGATAAGCCTTCTATGTGCAACAGTGTCAAAAGCCTTACTGAAATCTAGGTAAGCAATGTCTACTGCACCACCCTGATCTATAATTTTAGTTACCCAATCAAAAATCAATAAGATTAGTTTGGCATGATCTCCCTGAAGTAAACCCATGTTGTCTCTGATCTTGAAATCCATGTGTTTTTAGATGTTCAACAATCCTATCCTTTAACATGGTTTCCATCACTTTCCCCACTACTGAAGTAAGGCTTACTGGCCTATAGTTGCCCGACTCCTCCTATTACCTTTCTTGTAAGAAATGGAGAAACAGCGATTGCAGCTAACTTCCAATCTTCTGGGACTACACCTGTTAACAATGAAGTTGGATTTAAAATAAATCTGTTAATGGTTTTGCTAGTACACCACTAAGCTCTTTTAATAGCTTTGGGTGTATTCCATCAGGTCCCATTGACTTATTTTGCTTTTTTGACAGTTGAAATAGAACCTCTTCCTCTGTAAACTCACGTGTAATAAAATGACTCATTTATCCTTTTTCTCAACTGAGGTCCCTTTCCTTCATTTTCTTCTGTAAATACAGAACAAAAATATTCATTGAGGCAGTCAGCCTGACCTTTATCCTCTTCTACATACCTTCCTTCTTTTGTTTTTAATCTAACTAATCCTTGTTTTACTTTTCTTTTCTCATTTATGTATCTAAAAAATGTTTTTTTTACTGACTGTGCTATTTTCTCTTCTGTGTGTGATTTGGAAGCTCTTATAACTTGCTTAGCCTCTTTCTGCCTAATCTTATAGATCATTTTGTCTTCCTCACTCTGGGTTTTTTTATAATTCCTAAATGCTAACTTTTTGTTTTTAACTATTTTGGCCACATCTGCGGAGTACCACAGTGGTTTCTTGAATTTTTTGCTTTTACTGACAAGCCTAATGCAATTTTCTGTTGCCTTCAATAGTGCAACTTTTAAATAATCCCATTTCTCTTGGACTCCATTTAAATTGCTCCAGTCTGATAATGACTCCTCTACCCATATTCTAATTTTAGAAAAGTCTGTTTTTTAAAGTCTAAAACTTTTGTTTTTGTGTGGTGTGACTCAGTCACTGTTCTTATATTAAACCACACTGACTTGATGATCACTGGATCCTAAACTTTCACCTACAGTAATATCTGATACCAAATCTCCATTTGTTAACACTAAATCTAGTATGGCCTCTTTACGAGTTGGCTCCTCAACAACTTGTTTTAGAGACAAACCCAGTAGGGAGTTTAGAATATGTGTGCTCCTGGCACAAGTAGCTAATTTTGTTTTCCAATTTACATCAGGAAGATTAAAGTCACCCATGATGATAACTTCCCCTTCATTGTCATTTTAGCTATTTCCTCAACTAGTAGATTATCTAACTCTTCAATTTGTCCTGGGGGCCTATAAATCACACCTACACGAGTTACTGTGTGATTACCAAATTCTAACGTAGCCCAAACGGTCTCTATGTTTGCCTCACTATTTTTTATTAGGCTAGATTTTATGCTATCCTTCACATACAAGGCCACCCCTCCCCCTTTCTTGCCTTCCCTATCTTTCCTATATAAAGAGTACCCTGGTATTGCTATGTCCCAGTCATTTTTCTCATTGCACCATGTCTCAGTAACAGCGACTAAATCTACACTATCAGTTGCCATTATTGCCACAAGTTCATGGATCTTATTCCCTAAACTGCGAGCATTTGTAGACATGACTCTAAGCTTATCATTTTTAACACACTTGCTACAGGCACCTTCTGTCCTTGTTTTGGGGGACAATTGGATTGATGTTTATCACCCTTTTGCCCCCCCCTCCTAGTTTAAATACATCCTAGCAAAACCTCTGAACTGCTCACTGAGAACATTTGTTCCCTTTTGAGAAAGATGCAAACCATCTTTTTTGTACAGCTTATCTCCATTCCAAACAGAGCTACCATGAGAAATAAAGCCAAATCCTTGCTCCCGACACCATTCACCAAGCCACAAATTAAAGTCCCAAATTCACCTTTGTTATTTAGGTTCCAACTGAATTTGGGATTAGATATGTTGTATACAGCAACCAAAACAACGGATAAATTGTTATCACACACACATGATTATACGCAAAAGTGTGAATTCTCAGAAATAAAGTGAATTTCACATTTAAGCCATAATAGTTGAACTGGCTGAGCAATAGCAGACTGATAATTTTTACAGTTTGACCTAAAATTTGAAACTCATTTTAAATTGACGATATTTCACACACTGTTGAAAAACAATGTCTCTTATTACAGAGAAATACAGTTAAATTATAGGTGCTTTATTTAAAATATATTGCAGTTGTACATGATTCAAAACATACAGCTCTTAATAAATTAACAGCAGAAAAAATGGTAGTTATGCATGTCGGAGTTCATAGATTTCTACTTTTTAAGCGGAAAACATGGAAAAACAGTCAGTCAGCATTTATCACATATTACTATAGAACATCACAGACTAATAAACAGGGGAGGGTGGGCAAGTTTTGGCCAACGTACAAACCTTTTTTTGTGCACAAAACTCACAGATCTTAATGGGCATTGTCCTACTTACACAGAGCACCAAATATGTGCACATTTGACATATGGAAGCTGGTGACATTAAAAGGGTCATCATATACCCATGCAACCTGTATCAGTACGAACAAAAGGAACATTGTAAGAGACAAAGGCTCTGTTTCCTACTGACTTTATTGCACCAGTGACAAGCAGCATGAATGCCATGAACAGTGTTTCATCCCAGCCTGCAGTCACATCATACACACCGATTGTAGTCTTGCAGCACTATCAACATTAGATTGTAGACTGTAGTCCACTTTTAAATATATCAGAGGCCAGTGCAGGCCCAGAAAGCAGCAAGACCACAGGCCATCAGCCCATGCACAAACCCACACAGTACCGGCTAGCAAAGGCCTGCCTGCTGCTTCAATCCTCCAGCAACCTACTAAAATACACCTGAACACTTCCTGCTAGTTTAAAGGAACACAAACAAGTATTCCCGATCCCATAGTGTTAAAACCACCATCTAGCCCCCCTAAATATAGTAAAATCTTTTGTTCAAGATTGCAGCTGTTGGTTCTGCCCCTGATCTGTCTGCTTGGCTGACAACATCAGAAGGGATTATCTGAGCCAGTCACAATGCTTTCCCATTGGATTTGCTGAGACGGTCAAGAAGGCAGATCAGGGGCAGAGCCAGCACAAGTCAAACACAGCCCTGGCCAATCAGCATCTCCTCAGAGATACATTGAATCAATGCAGCTCTATGAGAAAAGTTCAGTGTCTCCATGCAGGAGGTTGGAAACACTGAATGTCAGTCACACTGTGCAGCACTGCCCCAGGAAGGACCTCTAGTAGCCATCTGAGGAATGGCCACTGGAGGAGTCTCGAGGCTTTAATGTAAACACTGCCTATTATCTGAAAAGACCCACTGTGTTTTCATGAAAATGCCTGCAGGGACTGTCTATACTCACCAGAACAACTACAATGAGCTGTAGATGTTCTGGTAACCATAGTGTCCCTTTAATATTGTGTTGGCCATATTGTAAAGAGGATTCTGTCTGATGAGCAATAAAGTTAATACAATGAGAAACACTGCATTTTCTCTGAAAAGACAATGTTTATTACAAAAAGCTTGAAGGTAATGATTATAGTCAACCAGGGCAACTACAGCTTACAGTATTTGTTCTGGTGAGTAGAGAGTCCCTTTAACTTTTAGAAGAATGGTTTGAGGCTGCAGCACACAATCATCATGTCTGTCTTCCTATGAAATTGCCTCCCAGCCTTTCTTTTTGGCCCTCCCAGGCTAATAAAGGACATGATAAAATGAACCTGAGACGCACACATTCATGTGACCTCTGACAGGTCTGCCCCCTTAATTTAAACATTAAGGAAAAAAAAAAAAAATCATTCATCTGGTTGATCAAGTTGTTTTTTAGTTTTTTTCTGCCCCCAATAGATCCAACATGGGATGGGAGATATTAGCAATAATTTTAAGAGCAAGCTAACCGGTCATCACTCCCAGTCAACAAAACTGAAAAAAATTGAATTAATTTTGGAATGTATTTGTTAGATTGAGTCGGATTACCCAGTTTAGTTGGCTCTTGCCTAAATCCAGGAGGTAGCGACCATTTTTGAAGTGTGAAGACATGTTATCCCCCTCTGTTTGATAGGGTTTATCAGATAAGAATTGGTCAGACTGCTATTTTGATAGATCTGACATATTCACAAATATATTTAACATTTAACGGGGTGGAGGGGAGAAGAGATTCCTAAAATTAGTAACTCCCCCTCCCGCTTAGACATCTTATACTTCTAATTACATGCATGTGAATATATTGCTGTTTTTACCAGATTACTGTGTACCAGCTGATAGTGTGTTCAGGAACAATTTTATGTATTTTTAAAAAAAACTTATTTCACAAATATCAGATTATTTTCTCCCATAGTAAGAAGGGACAGAAGCCTGTGCCGCTGGCAGCCCCAAAAAACTGCAGCGTAACTGGGTCTCAAAAAATAAAATAAAATAAATTTATATATATATCTATATCTATCAGAAACCAGTCTCTGACACCAAGTATCGGTTAATGGCTATTGTTACTCCCTCTACTCAAACATTAATAGTAAGGAAACCGCTGCTACTACAAAATACAACATAAAATATCAAATAAGCATTATAGTTATGAATAAAAAAACCACAACCACTACGTTAACATACTATTGAATTGGCCTGATCCATTTATTTTAAACTTTACTTCAGGGCCATCCAAAAATAATTGTGAACAACATGTCTTGCATGTTAGACGAGGGCTGATCAAGTGTTTATTTTATAAGTTAGAACAGAAATTTATAAACCTGAATGATTTTTTTTTTTTTACCAATAATTACAAATGTCTACAGTTACAAGTTCATACCCAAACATGCTCATACCTAATGTAAATAAAGATCTAATCAGATGAATTAATCTCAAATATTTAAATTGAGGGAGGCGGCTATCCCATCTGAGGTCTATAAACTTCCAATCCCCCAGTCAATCACTGGTTTAGTGAATAGATCCCATAATACATCATTTATGTATGTTAGATGACGTTGATGTTCACGATTCTTCGTATTTCTACTTGTTTTCAGGTGTGATTTTCTTGCGAATTTGTTTCTCTAGATCAAGCAGCTTTCGATAGAGCACATCACTGCTTTCTTCATCAACGTCCATCTGAAAGGGAAAAGATCAATTAGTTGAAAGATAGGCCAATAGAAAATGTGTGTAGAGGTCAAACACAGAGTTTGCTTAACCAAAGCTCTCCTAACTGGATGATATCAACAGCGGAAAAAAAATAATCAGTGAGTGAGCTCATCAGATGACAGAATAAACAATCATTTTAAGTTGTGAGGAATCTTGATGTTAATTTACCAAGTACAAATCTCCACTAGCAATAATACAAGGTGTCATATTTTGGGGTACAAGTGTGCATTTTTTTCCTATTGTTTTTCATTAAAAGGAACACTGTATAGTTTGTATTCCTTTTTGGTTCCTGAGCACCCCTATGGTTATGATTTAGATATGATGCAGAATGTGTTTAAAGGCACCTAAGTTGAAGGCTCAATGAGGAACTGCACTAGTTCGGTCACGCCTTGTTTATTTCTACTATGGTAATGTTCTAGTTATCATGAATATCCTGATAATGGTTGTTTTATTTAGTGCAGTGTTTCCCAACCCAGTCCTCAAGGCACACCTACCAGTCCAGGATTTAGGGATTACCCAGTTGTGTCTAAGGTGTTTTTTTTCTTCTTTGTAAAAACACCTTAGACACAACTGGGTAATCCCTAAATCCTGGACTGGTAGGTGTGCCTTGAGGACTGGGTTGGGAAACACTGATTTAGTGAAAACTGGCACTGGGGTGCCCAAAATTTAGATCAACAGAGGTTTTAAATCTACAACCTCCATGATGCTTTGTCATTCTAAAAGCATGCAGAGCATCATGGGAGTTGTAGTTCTACAACATCTGGGCATCTACCTTTTGGGCACCCATGTTTGAAAGTTAAAGACACTTTGGTTCCTCCTAACTCCCATTTAGAATTAATAACTTAATTTTAGCTTATATTTCGTAAGCCTTCTTAAGTTTTATCATGACAAGATTTTTTTATTTTTGCAAAAACTAAAGTAGTTTTGATTCCTTATTTGCATTGCTTTTTTTTTTTTTTTTAAAGTGTACAGGAAAATGAATTGCATACAAGTGGATGTTTTACACACATAAGAAATAGTAAATACTCGCCTTATACGATTGAACATAATTGTTACCCAGGCCAGATGTGCAGCTGTGATATTTTGCACGCGAGTCCAGAGATTCTGTCTTCCTACTAAACAGCCATAGCTGAAAGAACAAGGTACTTATTAAGAATTACAAACATCATGAGGAGAACGCACTGAAACATTCAGGATGCTTTGAATTTTTAGAAGACAGTAAAGCTTTATTTATTTATTTATTTATGACATCCAGCACAATAGAGTAAAGTATTCTGCATAGTATAGAATTAAAGGCCTCACCATTACACATAGCGTTTCCTCATTAATATTTAAAAAGTTTATTAACTTGGCAATTCTGGGATTAAAAAAAGGCCAAACTCCTCAACTACATTTTCAGGAAACAGTTTATCGAGAAACAAAGTGACACCCCAGATGTTGGAGCATCATGGGAAATAGAACTAGACTGGCACTTGGCCATGTGTATACTCTAATCTATAGGGAAGCAAAGACTGCATTTGCTAAAGGTTGATTGGGCAACAAAAGCAAATGTAGTTCAACATCAGGGGCGACAAGGCCAACCATAACTACTATAGTGATACCCATTCATAATACATCCCAACCCAAACTTAAAAAAATGCAAGAAAAAAAAGAGAAAGTGAATTTTTAGTGTTTATAAACATTAATGCAGTCCTATGAACAATGGCATCTGGTGAAGTTTTAAGATGGCAGATCGCCAGCTCTATGAGTGGTGTTTGCCTCTATGCTACCTCTGGAAAACCCTATTGTCTGAACTGCTTGACTCCATTATCAAAATGCCAGTCAAAATCAAGTATTTCCTTATTTAAATTATCAGAAAACACATTGAAAATTCTGTTTTGCATAATATGCAGGAAACTGCATAGTTCAATATGCTACACTGAACCTGTTCAAATACAAAATTATTACAATTGTCAACATATAAAAATCAAATGAATACTTGGGGATACAGGACAAAATAATGATATGAATGATCTCTTGAAAGCTGGGTTTCTATAGCTGGATGCTTATAAAGGCTTTTTGTATATACACACAATTATATGAATACATGTTTCTCTACTAAACAGTGGTTTTCTTTTTATTGTATTGTATTTGGGCAGTGGTGCTTGTAGAAAATGAAATATCTCGTCATTTGACTGACTAGTGCTGTCGGCCAAGCTTACCCAGCAGATTTTCTGATCTTCGTGGAAGATTGACTAATGAGCTCTGGGTTAGGAGATCTTTAGTATATCTTGGTTTGAAAGGTTTAACGGGGTTAAGATTAATTTTCTTCCCATGATCTTGCATTTACTTTAAAACTACACTGCTTAGGGTACCTTGTGTGTTCCCATTTCCACTATCTGCACTTCTCAGATTTGTTTGGCAGAGTCACAGTCCCAGAGTGAGATGGGGTTCCCGACCTTCTCAGCGTATTACCATTTGTGGAGACTAGTAAATTGGCACTGTACTCCACCTCTCTCACAGTGGACCCTCCTAGAGTTGGCAGTGTCAGATTGATCACCTCATCCCTTACCTTGAACTGAGGCACATGCCTCCTCATTTGACGACCCACTATACCATATGCACTAGTATCATTCTGCCACAAAATAAAGGACTCTTGTCAAAGTTCAAGTTTTCCCACCATGTAAACACAGAGTTCCCTGAGAGAATGTACCTAGCTTCTTTCGGTTTTTCAGATAAATCGTTGTATGATGAGCTGTGATATAAGCTCATCCATTGGCCTGCTTCCTTCACTTTGCTATTGGCTCAGAGACCAATTTACTCTCCATAGGCTACAATATCTTCAAATTAAACATTACTATGGCACTCAGATCCGATTACATTTGAGAATTAGTTCCTTTTAGGGGGAACATCTTGCAAGGGGTATTTCAAAAATGTATCAGCTTCTACTCCCCTCTATTCCTCAGCCTAAATTTGTTTTTCCGGTTGGGACATATGCATGGTAGATCCCTCTCTAGTCAATTTAAATTAGTTTATTTTTTCTACTTTGGCTCATGAGAGCTTTCTTGGTGCCCAACTTCAAGAAACAAAATTACACTCATTCCTTTACAATCAACTCCTTGACTTTTGCCTAAAATTTCAGGCGAAAATCCTGTAAAGGATTGGAGATGTCAAGGGAGTATCAGGACAGCACTTTATATTTGGTGGTCATGGTCATTCCCTATTAGGAGGAAATACGTGCAGCGGTTGAGAAGGTAGTCGGTCTAGGTCTCTCATTTCAATCAGAGGCAATGGTGCACTTATTTATCTCCCCTTCAGATTTCACAATATAAAAAGTCACTCACAAAGCAACTACTTAATGCACTGAAGGGTTTCTTTCCTCTGGATTAGCGATCTGAGGCTTTAACCACTCTCCAGCAGTTGATAAAATCTATAATTTGGAAATTCACAGTGCTTCTTTACTGGTGAGGTCTGGTAATTACACTGAACTGTGGCACCATTGGCTTGTGTATATAGCCCGGGAATCTTCCTTTTTAGTTTCTCGCTTCTCCTACTTGGCCTATTGAGAATTCTCCAATGCCAAGGGAGCCCGGCGCTGGAGAAAGGTAAGCGGGAAAAGACCTAATGACTCTATAGTGCCAGGAAAACAAGTTTGTTTTCCTGGCACTATAGTGGTCCTTTAAGTTTTTTTAATATGATCAGATGCCTGTTTTTTTTATTTAAGTCCCAGAACTGTAGCATGAAGCATTACGTAACATGCCAAAACACAAAGAATTAATGATTAGCAACCAACATCTTAAAAAAAAAAACAAAAAAAAAAAACAAGCACGTGCTACAGGCTGTAGTTTATCTTATTATATCAATAACAGGGTTCAAAATTTCCACTCAATCATCGTGATTAAGACATTGCCCCTCTGGGCTTGCAGTGGCAAGTAATTTTTAGGTCTGACTGGTAGTGTAGGACTTGTAGCCTTTGGTCACCCAGACCACTTCATCTAAATTAAATGGTGTGGGTGCAGCGTCCATCGTTTTAACCTTGCAATGTAAGACTTTTTTAAACTGCACTGTTTACATTACATAAATAAATCCACCTCAAGTGGCGCTATACTGACTGAATAAATACATGGGGAAGCATGAATGGGCACATCAGGTACCCAATTCTCTATCAGAAGCATTGGATTAGACCAGGGGTCCTCAAACTACGGCCCGTGGGCTGGATCCGGCCTGCCAGGGTCCTGACCCCGGCCCAAGCATTTAGGGCCACCCGAATGGGCCCTATATCTACAGGGGCCCGGTCAGCGCTGCAATAGCGCGACTGGGTCCCTTTAAAAAATAATTGCAGCCGCAAAGTAGTGCTGGGAGGAAGTGACAGCCGGTGGTCACTTCCTCCCAGCTCCCTCTCCTCAGAAGGGAAGAAAGACAGGCTGTGAAGATGTTAGAGCCACGCCGACTCCCATCAGCCACCCTTCTGCAAAAGAAAGAAAAAAAAAAGCCGAAAAATTTGTGATAGATAGAGAATATACACGGTTTAAAACGTTTGAGGACCCCTCCTTGATGGTCTAATCCAGGGGTCCTCAAACTTTTTAAACAGTGTGCCAGTTCACTATCCCTCACACAGTTGGGGACCAGACTATAATTTGAAACAATTCCTATACATACGGAAACTGACACATAGACCTATACAGACACACACGAATATATATTATATATATATATATATATATATATATATATATATATATATATATATATATATATATATATATATATATATATATATATATATATTTATTTATTTATTATCTCTGTCTATAGTATTAGGAAATTATTAAGATAGGTTTGCAGCCCTAACGCAATAGTATTTCTTTAAGACAGGCTTCCCCAAACTCCGGCCCTCCAGATGTTGCTGAACTACAACTCCCATGATTCTATGAATGAAATAGATAGGCTGAGAATCATGGGAGTTGTAGTTCAGCAACATCTGGACGGCCAGAGTTTGGGGAAGCCTGCTTTAAGAGGTAAAAAAAATGAAATTGCTTTTGTTTTTCTTAAGGTACTCTACATCTGTAGCATGGTAGGGATTAACCAACTCAGCAGGAGTTTATAACACGTGTGTCACCTGTCCTATTTGTACAATAGAAAACTAAAAGATGACCTGGAACTCACTAACTGCATACTCTCAGATTAATACGGCTATATGCGAGGACATATCACAGTTGTGTTATTGGAGTAAGGGGGGTAACTCTGCAGGATAGCAGGAAGCGGCTTTGAAAGGAAGAAATAAAGAAAATTATATGAAGAAAAATAGGCCAACTAAACTAATTTACACATTACAGAGGCTATCCTTGTAAAAGGGAGGGGAAAACAAGTAAAACCAGAAATACAAGGAGTTTTTAAATTGAAGCATAATGAGATCACAGTAATATTAGGCTGTCATTCTTTGTGTCACTACAGTGTGGCATACATCTGGTTAATCCAACATACATTAAAAAAAAAAAAAAAAAAAGACTCAGGCATTGAAAGCAAGGGCCACATTCACTAACCAATGCTTCACCACCTTCCAATTATAAATATAAACTTTGTAAATATTATTATTTTATTATTTATATAGCGCCAACAAATTCCATAGCGCTGTACAATGGGAAATATTGTAACAACCGATTTTTTTATTTATTTTTTTAAACCCATTAACCGGAAAACACAAAACAAAAAGTAAACTTTTGCAAACAAAAGCATGCAAATTAATATGAACCAATTAAGTCATCTGCAAAACCTTGTGGATGACAACTTCACATGATATTACGGGGTAGTAGAGATACAAAGTATACAACACACACACACAGTCTGCTTCTTCACTATACAGTATGAACAAGTGGAGTGGATGAAGTGACCTCACACACCCACCTCACTCCTGGCAAGTTCCAAACCCCACAATTCCAAGAATAACGGCACATAAATTCTGTTACTCCAGGTGTTTAGAAAAAGATTTTATAATGCATGTTTGAATAACATTTCATCTGTTTGGTAGGAAATCTGGCTACAGCAATGTTTAGATGAAATTTTACTTATGTGCAATGAGTACACTTTACAAAGAAGATGCTACAAATTTACGTTAAAACATGGTTTCATAGTATACATCCTTACTGGTCTATTTTCCATAAGACTTTAACTGCTTAATTTTAAGGAGACTTTTGGTGTAATAGTTTATAATTCTCATCACCCCAAGTTGACTAAATAAATCTTTAATAGGGGAATCATTCCTCATGGTTATTAATGAATGCCGAAATGCAATTTTGCATCAAAATTGGCACTTTCCTTCTCAACTTTGCAATTCAGATGCATGTTCTTTGTAAACAAACACTTCAGTCATGGCTCCTTTTCAAACAGAGGCCAAAAGCAATGTTAATGTCCACATACTTATGGACTGGACTGTATATACATGTGCTTTACTGGTGCATCATGGCACATGTTTAAAGCCCCTCTGCAATGTTTATCTTAAACTGTCTTACTGGGAATACAATAAGAGCAATTAGTAGGCCCTTTATTAAATAGAGTCACAAAACAAAATTCATTTTTCCAACTTACCAGGGCTTCAGCACCATTGTATGGGGAGATCGTGAATGAGTTTGTGAACAAACGGATCTGTGGAATTGAAAAACAAAATTAACCCATTATAATAAAGATTTCTTTTAAAATATATTTAGCATTTGAGTAATATAAAGAAAAAGTAGTGTCCGATAAATGCAAAGCTCAATATAGTGCCCTTCTCCTTCACAGCCCCCCATGGTGCACAAAGGATTGCATTAGTATTCCCCCCATTGGAAAGAATGTATAATGCCTTCCTATGGTGTTGTGCATGACGCTGGATGCCCTCAAAAGTTGCCTAATGACCCGGAAGTACCTCTAGTGGCTGTCATGTAGATAGCCTCTAGAGGTGGAGTTAACCCTTGCAGGTAATTATTACAGTTTATTAAAAAACTGCAATAATTACCTTTGCAGGGTAAGGGACCTGAGACTATGCACCCAGACCACTTCAATTAGCTGAAGTGGTCTGGTTGGCTATAGTGTCCCTTTAATGTTGGTTTTTATTTTAGCAATCTAATTACAGAAGCTGCATCTTATATCAGCTGGGAAATACAAACACTATTGACAGTGCCAACTGTGTTGCTAATGGATCAAGTTACTCTGACATTAGTAATTGTGTTCTGTTTGTACCTCAGAAGGTCCTGGATTTAGAGCAATACTATGACTTGGAACAGGTGGGAAACTGAAAATTAGTTTTTTTTGTTTGTTTTTTATTCAATGTGTAAATCTGGTACAGCCATCAGCTACAGAACTGTATGGTTAGAAAGAGCAACCAAGGAATCCGGGATAGACTAGTGATGTGAAAAAGATCCCAAGTTACCTTAGGAGAAGGTAAGGGAGCAAAAAAATAAAATAAAATAAAATAAAATAAAAAAAGCCCACACACCACACCAATATGTTCTAAACCTGGGTAATGCTTTCATAGAGTGGTGAAAGATAAATGAAGCAAATAAAAAAAAATAATAAAAAAAAAAGTCAAATCTGAAGCTACCCAAATGTTTTCATTTTTTGTTTTATAAAAATACAGCAATTGCCATAAACAGAAATTGTTCCTTCTCGGTAGAAATGTACAAAAAGGTAGACAACCTAGCGGGCAATCAACTACAAGTCCCATGATGCTTAACCAGTTAATGTTGTATGTCCAGTAAAGGTCTGTCTGGAGACAGAATGTGAAATGGTCCCCTGTAACTTGAACATGCTTGCATTGAGTCTTTAGTTACCAAGAGCTACACCCACTATATACAAGTATCTGGAGTGGCTAATAATTAGACCTACTAGCCTTATTAGAGTAATCGGCAACGGCCAAGAATCCATACTCTGGCCACACCTGCACTGGAGAGAAGAATTGTACCAATCCAGAGAAGTAGGATAATGGTTCTAATTACATCTGATTTTGGGAAGTGAACCTGAGTCACTTTAATAAGGGAGAGGCATATCAAGGATTTTATTGAATAGACTTGCATTTTCTTGTTCTGACTGTGAATCAGTCTGGGCCAAAATGTAAATATATAATGAGAGTTAAGCCATCTCTGATAGTTTTCCTCAGCATTTAAGAAAAGCAGCGCTTTGAAAACAAATGATGCACAAGAGAAAGTCCATATAGGTACCACATGAATAAAAAAAACTTGTGGTTTATCTTGTGGTTAAAAAAAAAAAAAGCCAAGCACAAAATAATTTCATAACAAAATAAAATATTTTTTTTGCTTTTTACTTATCAGAGATATTTGCTAACACAAGTAACTACTAAACTACAAATAACGTAGGCAAGTAGCTACAAGTAAAGTTAAAAAACACTTCCAACATTTCAAGAGGATAGTTAGAAGAAAAAAATAATTAAATACATGTGATCGAGAAGGTGTGCAGGCAATGCAGGTCACAAAGTGCTCCTTATTTTGGCCTGGATGACAAAAAAAAAAAATTATTCACCAATGTGAGAATTTAAAGTAAATTTCACATTTTAGGTCAAAATAGCTGGACTGCTTTCAGTTTGGTTACTTTGGCCTTAAATGTTAAATTCACTTTGATTTTTTCCTCTAGTAAAAAAAAAACAAAAAACTGAAACACTCCTTTACAACCATTACAATGTACCACAGTGCTTATGGTGATCCTCTAATCTCCACAAAAAAGTATATCTATACAATTAGATTATACAAATATAACTTTTTTTTTTTTTTAAGTGTATAATCATGCGTTAATACAAGTCATAAAATACGTTTATTATTAAACACAAGTCAGTGAATGGTTACGCAACACAAACTACATACCAGCCACATAATGGGCATTATAAACATCCAGAAGAAAGGTGGTAAAATTCCGTATGTGAGATTAGTCATAACAAGACCCGGACACACCACACTGGAATACATGCCCTGAAAAGTCAAAGAAGAAAAAAATATATATATAATTAGAAATCACTGATGGATGAAGGATAAACTTTCCTGAAGGATGGTAATAAGAGAGTGTACTACTAACTAAAATAAGTTAGTAGTACCATATTTCAATGGTAACCTCTATGCACCATAACAACTTAAAGGGAATTAAGTTGCTATGGAACCAGGGGGTCCCTAGTGCCACCTTACCTTTAGAGGTTAAACTATTGAGAGGGTAAGCTGGCACTTTCAGCTAGTCAGTAGCTTCCCATACATAAAAAAAAACAAAAAAAAAAACAGCTTGACAAAAAGACAACATACGTTTCTAAAGTAGTTTTGTGAATAGGGAGCTATGGATTGGCTTAGAGCATCAGCTGACCCTCTCAACCAAGCAATAGAGCTCCTGTGCGCAACAGTCTGAGACTTCCTGTTTGAAGAATCTCAGAGAAGCAGAAGGACAGGGGCAGAGCTAAACTGAGCTGGAAAGAAGACTTTGAAGAAAGAAGACTAACTGCAAATGGGAAGCCAAGATCCTCCTGGCACCAGAACAACCTCATTCCAATTAAGTTGTTATGGTACTAGAAGTTTTCCTTTAACAAGTATGTACTTGAGGAGATCAAATTAAAATGAACTATATGAAGTAATAATTACACCATATCCTGCAACTGGGTTCCTCCATCTGTCTTTTGCACCTGTCAGTTTGCAATGTTTGCCTTGTGGTGCCTGTACTAAACAGGATTGTGAATTATTTGCTAAATTTGAAAAAGTTTATATAAACTGGATAAAAAAAAATAAAAAATTCTAATTGTTTTCTAAAAAGACACCTCTAACGCTACTAACCTGCTTGTTGTAATGTTTATTTAAAGCAACGCTCAACAGATCAGTAGCATATTTGGAGGAGCTGTAGGATTCCTGTCCTTGAGAATGCTGATAATCTGTTAGACTGAAGGCAGACCTTCTTGCATTGCTAGAAGATGTCCAGATGACTTGGGAAGGATTGTGCACATTACATAAAAGAGGCTCAATTTCTTTAATCTGGGGGGAGGGAAGAAATATTTTTTAAGTGGTTCACTTACATCACAACTGCTGGCTCTGCCTCTGATCTGTTTGCCTGGCGGACCACATCAGAAGTGACTCCCTGAGTCAATAACAATGCTTTCTCATAGGATTGCCTGAGACTGCCAAGGAGGCAGATCAGGGGCAGAGCCAGCACAAGCCAAACACAGCCCTGGCCAATCAACATCTCCTCAGAGATGCATTCAATCATTGATTGAAATCAGATGATTTTATCACTTTCTTATCTCTCAGTCACTCATTTAAAAAGAAAACATTCTATAAAATAGAGAAAAAATGAAGAAAAGGGCATATTGACTGTGTGAGCAAGAGTATCAACTGTACCAGAATATAGTGGCCGAAAACATTGGTCTCAAAAACCTCTTGTAAACCATCTTCAGTCACCTTGTCCTCCTGTGTCAGGAGCCCCTCACCTGTGGCAAACATACTGATGACATTCCTACAATGATACAAAAGCCAGTTCACTTATACTATCACAAACCAATTCGAACATTAAATATAGTTACATAGTTACATAGCTGAAAAGAGACTTGCGTCCATCAAGTTCAGCCTACCTCACATTTGTTTTTTGCTGTTGATCCAAAAGAAGGCAAAAAAAAACAGTTTGAAGCACAATTTTGCAACAAGCTAGGAAAAAAATTCCTTCTTAACCCCAGAATGGCAGTCAGATTTATCCTTGGATCAAGCAGTTATTACCCTACATTGAAAGATTATATCCTTGAATATTCTGTTCTTGCAAGTATGCATCTAGTAGCCGTTTGAACATCTGTATGGACTCTGATAAAACCACTTCCTCAGGCAGAGAATTCCCCATCCTGATTGTTCTTACAGTAAAAAAACCTTTCCTTTGCCTTAGACGAAATCTTCTTTCTTCTAGTCTAAACGCATGGCCTCGTGTCCTATGTAAAGTCCGGTTTGTGAGTACATTTGCCAATAAGTAAATATAATTATTAAAACAAAAATACTGTACCTTGAGAACAAACCAGTGATGAAAGCTTTGAAGCAAATCCTCGGATTGGGCATTATTCCAGCATTCAGGTATAAATGGTCAATGCGCTTGTACCTTTTAATTAAAAACATACAAAAAAACATAGCAATTCTATTTCTGATTTTTAAATATAAGACATGCAACAACCATAACCATCTTAGCATTAAGTCCCATATTTAGGCTGTAACAGGATATTGTTATATTTCTCCAACCCTTTTTTGTTTTGCTTACAATAATGCCCTATTGGCATTATTTTTCCAAGTCATTCCCAAATGAAATTCTCCAAAGACATTTTAAAATAAGTTTTACTGACTTTAATCCAGGCTTGGGCGAGGCACCCGGGGCTGTTGGACAGAGCCCCAGCTGACATCACAGAAGCCATGCGGAGGTCCAATCAAAGGCTTCTCATGGAGAAGCCTTTGACTGGACAATTTAACCACTGAGATGGACAATTTAACCACTGAGATGGACAATTTAACCATCTTAGAGTGCATGCGTGCGCTCCTAGCTGGCAAGAGCAGAGGGAAAGAGGGAATTAGAGAAGGAAGGTCGGGGGAGGGACAATCCTAAGTGAGAGGAAGGGCTGCTGACAGGACTGAGGGGGAGACACAGAAAGGAGCCTATTACATCTGTCGCCAGCATGTTGATGTCAGATGTAAAATATGTACACAATTGACATTAGGCAGCCCAGAACAGAGTTCAGGGCTGCATAAGTCAGTCAACTCTTGCTGGGATGCTACTAGTTCCGGCACAAAGTGCCAATAGCGCTTATGTTTCAAGCTGAAAAACTGCACATAAAGACTCCTAACACCATCCCCACTTCTAAAAGCAGAAATGGTCATGGTGAGTGGAGTATGCCTTTAATATAATATATTAAAGTAAATCTGAGTTCATTTAGAGACGTGCATTTCAACCAGTGTGCTGCACATACTAAATCAACGGCTGTAATAGGTTGATTGCAGTTTTTAAAATCTGCTTTTTAACAAGTATCCACGTTAAAAATGTGATTCTCGTCAGGCATTTAAAAGAACACTCGAAGCCCCATGAATCACTGCAGCCCACTTTAGTTATTATGATGCCAACGGTGCCCTGGAAGCTCTACATCCAGCGGTTGCGGTTATGGTGCTTGAAGTGTTCCTTTAACCAAGCACAAACAACAACAACAACAACAACAACAGAGAAGTGTTTAGTTTGCTGGATAACCATGAACAGTTGCATACTGCAAAATTAAAAGTGAGCAATGTGTTGATTTGAGGTTCATGTCACTGTGTAGGAACAGATTATATTGGTAGATAGATCTCTCCATTTCAATTAACAAAGAACTCACCCTCCCTCGCCTTGCTTGGCACTGACTAAATACTGTCACATAACAGTAACAAAGAATCAACCAAAAACATTGAAGAAAAAGAATGTATATCTGCCAATTAAAACATGAACATTTATATATAAAAACTTAATATGGACCCCTCAGTTGAGCCACGAAGGTTGCAATGATCCTTTGGTGCTGCAATGACAGATTACACCGTACTGTGGGTATACGTTGTATAAAAGACTATCCCTATAGCTGCACATAGTTACATGCAGGAAGCTTACCTTTCTTTTAGTTCTTTTGCACCCTGTAACACTGATTTAACACTGCCTACGTCAATTTGAACCACACTAATATCAGCAGATGGGTGAGAGGAAGCAAGAGCCATTCGGGCATTCTCAGCCCTCTGTAGGTTTCTGCAGGCCAAGCATAAACGAATCTGGTCATCCTTTGAAAGTAGTCTTTCACAGAGAGCCAAGCCTATGCCACTGAAAATAAATTAAAAACTATTTATAATATACAGATGTATTATAATTTACAAGGCAAACAGAGAACCAATGTTTACGGAAGGTTTCCCAACTCACATCAGGTCATGAGTTCTTGGAAAGTGCTAAATGACTCCTGTACTACAGGTAGTAAAAGACTAAAGTAGAAAGAATGATAATTAATAAACAAGGCCGATAAGTAAATCACCTATGAACTTGGAACAAAGAACATCGTTCTACTGAATAACAAAATATAGAATGCGTATATATTTAATGTGCACTGTAGTGGTTATGGTGCTTGGAATGTCCCTTTACATTTATAGGGACAGGGCAGAATGTGAAACAGTTATAACAAAGCATATACTGTATCCACTTGAGGTAAGCAAAAAATAAATGATAAATATATTTTACATTTGCTGTGCTCTTAAAAGGGTTACTCAAAGTGCCATGACCACTTCCATGATTTGAAGTGATCATGGCGCCTGGAGTTTCACTTCTCCACCTCCATCACTGGGTAAACTAGAGTTCCAGACTGGGTAGTGTAAATTCTGTGCAACTTTCACTGCACATAATGTCAATCATTGGTTGAGAGAGGTCAGCTGACGCTCTCAGTCAATGAATAGTGACGGCTGTGGCTTCACAGAACCCCTAGGACTTCTGAGTGTTCACCATTTATAAAGAAGATCTACACTTATTGATTTATTATACCAGGGAGAGGACAATATGGAAATCAATCCCCAGCTATTGCTGACTTCTAACTCTCACAATGCTTTGCCACCATTATGGCTGGTAAAGCATCATAGGAGGAGTTGTTCAATGGCAGTCTGGGGTTTCCCTATGTCCATCCTATGGTCTATTAAAAAAAAAAAAAAAAAAAGTAAATATTTGTTTTAGGATAGACAATTAGGTATTGCACCAAGTACTGGGATAGACCCAGGGCCGGCCTTAGGGGTGTGTGAACAGGGCGCCATGTGGCCGACACAGCTTGCACATTGCCGGGTGACAGGAGTTCAGGGGAGCTAAAACAGGTACCCAGGCGGAGGATTTCATTATTCTCCACCCGGGTCTATAAAAATTAAATAAAGTTGAGGGAGTGGGGCTTACCGAGCAGAGCTTATCGCAAGGCGGAGGTGGGGCTAATATCTACCTGAAGCCCCTGGTAACTGCTGCACAGGAAGAGGGAAGAAGGAAGGCCCTGCTTCCCCAACAACCAACTGCTTTCACTCCCCCTTTCAGCCATACTGGAAAGAGGCAAGTCTGTGTGTTTGTGACTGCCTGTCTGCGTGACTGACTGCCTGTGACTGTGTGTGACTTTTTGCCTGCCGGTGTGTGACTGCAATTGTGTTTTGCTGTAGCTGTTCCATTGTGTATGCCTGTATGTGTGACTATCTGCCTTTAACTGAGTGTGCCTGCGTGTGTCTGCATGCCTGTAACCGAGTGTGTATGACTGTCTGCCTGTAACTGAGCGTGTGTGAATGTCTGCCTCTGCCTGTGTGTGACTGTATACAGGCAACTTGGGCGGGTGGGGGTGCCATGAAGACTTTTCGCCTAATGGCTTAAGGCCGGCCCTGGATAGACCACAAGTCACATAAGGAAGATATGCATCCCCTGCCTATCCAGTTACCTGCTGCCAAGCATATGCCCACCTTTTCAAACTGACTCAATTACAGTGAAGAAAGCATACACAGTCATTTCTGTAGCACCATCCTTACAACTCACTGAAATTGTTGTTAGACAAGCATTGTGTGTGGAAGCTCTGACACTGCTCGTCTCCGAACCAGCTGAAAGTTTGAAGCTAAGGGACATTCAGAGGGGAGTTTATTGCCCATACAATCGAGCTCAGATTAACCTTATTTAATACAGGAACCCAACTTATACACATGATAGGGTTGCAAAAATAAACAATTTACTGCAGACAGTTGCCTGACGCAAAGCATTAATTGCCTGCTCCAAGCAATGGGAACCCATTAAAAAGCATTAAGGCCAAATTTTGCGTTCAGACTGTGGAGTAATATAACTCTACCAGATAAAGATGAAAACTTCTACACTACAGCAATTTTGAAGCCAACCTTGCTCCTCTACTCTAGTGTTCAGAAGGGATTCTAAAAAAAAAAATCTAATTCAACAGCCCTAAGGAGTTTCATGAACAGACATAAGTGAATCAACTTTTCAAGATAATAAATGAGAAACAACCAGCATCCATGGTCATGTCTCCACACTTAACTTCAAAATAGCACTGCATGTAAAGAATAGGATTTGCAGTTCCCTCATGTTTCCCTGGACACTATAACTTCATCATGCTAACTTGTAGCACATGAAAAATACAACTGCGGTATACAGCATTCACATGCTTCAATTAGAACATCAGTCCATCAATTGAATCTTGCAGCATATGAAGGCTATTGGGCAGCACTTGTCAGGAACTACGGGTCAGCTAGAAAAAAAATATATACCTGTCCATGTAATTATTCCAAAGTGCTGGAATATAACTCGAAGAGGTGCTACCTGTCCAAGATAACAAGGTGGGAGGGGTAGGGTAGCAGCACATTAAATCCATAGTGATTACCCAGCCAGCAAAATGCAATTTATTACATTGTAACAGACAGTATATATATACCCTCAGCTCAATCTATACAGCTATAGGAGGACTATTTATAAACATATACTCTTTAGCGATGTCCCGAACGGTTCGCTGCGAACGGTTCGCCACGGACTCCAGTCAGCAGACACATTCCAGCCAATCAGCAGCAGACCCTCCCTCCCAGACCCTCCCACCTCCTGGACAGCTCACTAAGAATGCAGCTTCACAATGGATGCTGTCCAGGAGGTGGGAGGGTCTGCTGCTGATTGGCTGGAGAACAGTTGGGGACATCACTAATACTCTTATTTAGTTATTATACCGGGTTAAGAGTTATTCAGTTATTATACCGGGTTTGGACTTATTGTGCCATTATACCAGGTTTAGCGTTATTATACCAGGTTTAGCGTTACAGTTATTCAGTTATTATACCGGGTTTAGCGTTATTCAATTATTATACCGGGTTTAGAGTTATTACACCGGGTTTAGAGAGTTATTATACCAGGTTTAGAGTTATTCAGTTATTACACCAGGTTTAGAGTTATTATACCGGGTTTAGAGTTATTATTCCGGGTTTAGAGTTATTCAGTTATTATACCGGGTTTAGAGTTATTATTCCGGGTTTAGAGTTATTCAGTTATTATACCGGGTTTAGAGTTATTCAGTTATTATACCAGGCTTAGAGTTATTATACCAGGTTTAGAGTTATTATACCGGGTTTGGAGTTATTATACCGGGTTTGGAGTTATCATATCGGGTTTAGAGGAGTTATTATACCGGGTTTAGAGGAGTTATTATACCGGGTTTAGAGGAGTTATTATACCGGGTTTAGAGGAGTTATTATACCGGGTTTGGAGTTATTATACCGGGTTTAGAGTTATTATACCGGGTTTAGAGGAGTTATTATACCGAGTTTAGCGTTATTATACCGGGTTTGGAGTTATTATACAGGTTTAGAGTTATTATACCGGGTTTGGAGTTATTATACCGGGTTTAGAGTTATTATACCGGGTTTAGAGTTATTATACCGGGTTTAGAGGAGTTATTATACCGGGTTTAGAGGAGTTATTATACCGGGTTTAGCGTTATTATACCGGGTTTAGCGTTATTATACCGGGTTTGGAGTTATTATACCAGGGGGAGGACAATTTGGGATCAATCCCCAGCTGTTGCTGACATATAACTCTCATGATGCTTTGCCAGGATTGGTCCTGTTGGATTGCAGCTCCCAGTGATGCTTTTCCATGATTGTGGCTGGCAGAGCATCATGGGAGGAGTAGTTCAATGACAGCCCGGGGTCTCCCTATGGCCATCCCATGGTCTATGCTCAGTAGCAGCCGATATTCCCAACCTGTTGGCTCCGGTGACAACCACGACCTTCCGCATGTCTGCTCCCGGCACTGGCTGCGGTAGGAGATAGGAACAGCTCTACACACAGTGCGGTCAGCGCGGCACCCTGCAAGGTGATTGGTCGGAGCAGAGTGTCGGGGGCGTGGCTGAGAACGCCAGGTTATACACATGTTTAGAAGGGGCGAATCCATTCATAAGCGAAGATAGCAAAGGGGGCGGGGAAAGGAACGAGGGAGACGACGAGAGGGGCGTGGCCTCATCCTGGCTGTGGGGCGAGAATCGGCCGATGGGCGGGCATTAGTGCCGCGGCAGCCAATAGGAACGGTCCATCCTCGGGGTCCGTGTGGTGACATGGGGACCAAAAGTGACACATTGTAAAGCAGGCACCGCCCCTCTCTGCGGGAAATAGTATGGAATGCTCTCAGAACTACATCTCCAGAGGTGCACTGCGAGATTGGCTGAGCATCACGGGAAATGGAGTTTATTGATTGCCATATGAGGGGCAGAAGGCAGCATTGCTCCATGGGGGCTGTCTCAGTATTCAGGAATGTTATCCTTTACTGACTGCTCTCATACAATCTCAGGAATGGATCCACATGTTATTATTCTTCTAACTGTTTCATTCATTCAAAATGTGTGTAAATATTGTGAACACTGCACTATCAATATTACTTAATTAACCCCTTCAGGACGGAGTGGGTGTCTGCAATACCATGTGTGAGTGGGCAAAAACAGCTACACAGCGAGGCAGGGCTGGATGAGCGTGTGTGCCTGTCTGTGTCAGAGCCAGGGTTGTTTAAGATGCCATGTGAAAACACAAGTGGATCAAACCATTGGGAGCCAGGGCAGGATGAGTTGATGTGTTCACCTGTATCTCAGTCAGGAGTATGTCAGGTGCCAGAACAAGGAGAAAGTGAGTGGCTATGTGAGATTATGGAAGGATGGCCTGGCTGGGAGAGGAAATTACGTGAGTGTGTATCACATCATGTGCCTGACCAAGGGGTGTTAAAGGTGTCATGTGACAATGTGCAGGAAGAGAATTCTAGGGAGAGAGGGTTGAATGAATATGTGTGCCAATATGTGCCTGACGCCAATGTATTGGCTGGGCTGTGTGAAAGTGTGGAGGGGGAGCATGGCTGTGAGGGAGGGCAGAATGTGTGTGAACCTTACTCTGCACAAGACTCAGCCAGTTCCCAAGGTGCTGTATGTGTGAGGACATGGAGTGGCAGTGAGGGAGAGACAGAGGTTCCAGCGGTAGAAAGGGGGACCCGTCCACGGCCTGCCCAAAGTGAGGGGCATGGACAGTCTCAACCTGTGGGTCCAGGGAAAATGGCCGCAGGGGAACATACTGATGGGGGAACCACCATCCTTGTCAGCATATCACAATCACACCTCCAACATACACCCAAGCCAGCTCAGGAGAAGGCGTCTGTCTCTAAGCAACTTTTTGATTCTGAACCAAAGGTTCAGAGTAAAAAGGTGCAACGAGCCCAGCAGACAGACCACAAAATAAAACAGATAATGAGTGTGGATACAGTGCAGGTACCCTGGGAGTGTCCTCTGTCTCATCTTGTGTGTGCTTACAGGGGAGTACTGCAGAATATACATTTAATATTACAACGTTTTGTGTATTTTCTATTCACATATTCGACCATAATACCATGAATTCTAAAAATATTAATGTTGTTCCGTATTGCTTAATTATTATGTATTAAGAGATTAATATTCATATTTAGGTCACGACCACAACATATGGCGTAGTCGGCAGGATTATGCTTGAATATTGGGGAAAATATAAATGTTATGCATTTTGCTTAAATAATACAGTAAATTGTCTGTCTGTATACAAATGAATAAATGAATGATGATTTGGTTTTAATGGAATGAATGCAGATAGCAGATAGGGATTAGATATTTGTTTTTAAGGTATCTCTTGTTGTAGAACATAGTGATGAATTATTGTGTTGCTTGTTACGTTTTACCAACCTTTGGTCATTTTTATATATAAAACTAAATTTTTTTTACTTTTTGTCTGACCATGTGGGTTTCAATCCACCATTGACCACATGGTGTGAATTGCTTGAGGCCTAGTACCATTTGCATAGGAAAAGACTTTTCACTAAACCTGTTCACCAGGTTTTTATTGCTGGTTACTTGACCTGGTTTGTTTGTTTGTGTACAAATTTACATTTGTTTGGCATTCAAGGATTTGTTTAGTTGAAAAGATATTTGGACTAAACTGATTAAATTAGTAGTTAAGAAAAAGATAAGTTTAGTAAAGCAGATTGAGCAAATAATAGATTTGTGAGCGTATACATAGAATTTTAGTATGGATATATATATATATAATTATGACTCATGAAGGAAAGACCATTTTTTTATTTAACAGCTGTGTGAACATGTAGTGTACATCCTAGTCAAAACAGTGAAGTACGTGTTTGGGGGATGGTTGGTGTAAGAGACCATCCTTTTCAGCTACAGCTGGGGGAGAATTTGTCCTTGTTGGGGGCGGGTAGTCTTACCTGTATGATAAAATAAACTGCATAGTAAAGGATGCATTGTTTTGTAAATGTAATTGCCTAAACTAATCAATTTGTGGAGTGTTTTTCAGCTTCCATATCCAGAAAAAAAATGGTAAAATAATTCCTTGTTGTCCTATTTGGTCTGGTTAGAATATTTTAACAAGTTAGCATTTTTAACAAAGTAAGTGTATGGGCTCAGATTGAGATTTATATTCTTTTAGAAGCCATCTATATAACTGATTTTAATATTTCCATCCTATGAATATACGTGTCCGGAGAAGGGGGAGCATACCCAATAGTTGTTGTGCAGTTCTATCCTGTATTTGAAACCCTGTATTACTTATAAGTAGCCTTTTGTAACTTATTAGTAATAGTTTATATATATTGCTCTGGGAAAGGGATATGCAAATCTCTGAGAGACCAGGAAATATATAAAATAAGGACGTATTACACTAGTGGTAGGGTGGCCTATCATGACCATAGAGACCCTTGGTGACTAGTTTTCATTGTATATTGCCTGGGAAGGGGATAAGCTATTTAATAGAAATTCCTGAGAGACCAGGAAATATACAATAAGTGATACGTGAGTGTACGGGTTAAATTGCAGACATATTGGCCCATAACCTTTAATCGAGCCGGAAAAGAGGTTGCTGTATGCTTGCAACTCTATAATTTTGCGGGGGCGGTCACCCCCATGCGGAAAGCCACTGCCACCACAGGGTGGATAGTTGTGCAGGGCCTTAGCCGCGAGGTGCAGACATGTCTGTGGAAAGGCTAAAAATTAATAGGGAGTCACTCATAGCTGTCAGAAGTGTTGCACTTTGAGACATATTGACCTATAGTCTTTCATCAGAGGCGGAAGAGGTGTTGTGGTTCACTCCTCTATAATTTATCCAAAGGGTGGAGAGTTATTAAACATGTTTAAGTTGGCTAGAAATTCACAGATTTTACTATTAGCATGACGTAAAGTCATGATTTTATTAACGACACGGAGGCGAGTATTATGCTGCACTCTTTCTTTATTTTCCCTCAGCAGCAAAGATTTTTTTTTTTTTTTAACGTAATCAAAGTTAACAATAAACAGTCTGAGAGGAGTATCCTAGCAACAGGAACAGCCAATCGGATTCCACTCTCCAGCATAATAGGCTCTGTGAACCAATCCAATTCCTCTTGATTTGCGATCCCGAAGTAGTGTAATCATCCAGTCCAGACAAGAGAACCGTGTAACAAGGGAACTTCCAATGACCTGAAGAAGGTTAAGCTGTAAGACAAGGAGAAATATGGTAATATCTTTGTATTAAACTGGATGTCCACATAACTCATAATATGTCTAATGTCACGACATTTTTTAAGAAGTCTGAGCAGTTAAGTGGAGTATTGGCAAGCCTAACGTGTATCAATCTCAAACTACTAGGACTTACCTTGAAATCAACTTACCCATATTCCATCCTTCCACGGGATGGGAGGGAGGGATAATACTCGCCTCCGTGTCGTTAATAAAATCATGACTTTACGTCATGCTAATAGTAAAATCTGTGAATTTTATTAAGACACGGAGGCTCCTATTATGCTGGTTTAAAGCTGGGAAATTATAGATCCCGCGAAGTGTTGAATGGGTTTAAAGTAAAAGTCCCTGAAAGTCGATTCTGAGGACCAGTCAGCTGCCTTCAAAATGTCTTCCAGTCGACAACCAATCATGGAGGCTCTGGAAGCCATCGCTCCTCGCACTGAGTGAGGTAAGAATAGTGAAGTGTCGATGCCTGCTATGGACATCATCCATTTAACCCATCGCGCCAGGGTCGGAGTAGACACCGGTAGGTGAGGTTTCTGGAATGATATGAAAAGCTCGTGTTTTGTCATGTCTCGAAGTGTGGAGGTGCGGTGCTCATAGGATTGTAAGCACTTGACTGGGCATAAGAGCGGTCTGTCGGGGAACGCTGGGTATGACACCGACTTCGAGGACGTCTTCGTTCTGCGAGAGATATCGAAGGTGACCCCCTCTGGGGTGTAGGAGCGTGCGGTAATGTCCAGAGCTCTGACATCGGATACCCTTTTGCAAGATATGAGGCAGAGGAATATAGCCAGCTTGGCCGACAATTGTTTCAGGGACAGTTGTGTATTGTCCGGCCATGATTCAATGAATTTGAGGACGATGGAGACGTCCCATAGCATCGAATATCGTGGGAGCGGGGGTCGGGTGAATTTAATGCCACGTAGGAGTTTACATATCAACGGGTGGCGTCCAATCGGGACACCCGCAGTCCCCTGGTGTGCCGCTGAAATGGCCGAGCGGTATAGGTTCACTGTACGATAGGCCTTGCCATCCTCAAACAGGGACGTGAGGAAGTGGAGGATATCACTCACAGGAGCTGATATGGGATCCAAGTCTCGTTCCAGGCACCAATCACGCCATTTGCCCCATGAAGACTTATAAGCCTGTCTTGTGCCGGGTGCCCATGCGTTCTCGAGAAGGCGGAGAGTCGATTCCGGAACTCCCTCGATTGCCCAAGGTCCCCTGAAATTAGCCACGCTGTTAGCCGTAGCAGATCCTGCTGCACCAGGGGGTGAGGGGCCCCATCTGGGTCCTGAAGTAAATAAATGGAGTGTGGGAGAATTCGAGGCACGTCCACCGTCATCTCCAGGAGGGGAGGAAACCAAGGTTAGGAGGGCCATAACGGTGCGACAAGCACCAGGGTTCCCGACTGTCGTCGTAACTGTAGGAGGCAGCGAGGAATCAGTGCGAACGGTGGAAAGGCATAATTCCTTGTGGACGACCAATCCTGCGTGAACGCATCTGTCGCTAGCGCTGCTGGGTCCGGCCTCCAGCTGAAAAATCGGGGAAGTTGCGCATTCAAGCGGGAGGCAAACAGGTCTTTGTCCATGGGGCCCCATATTGATTGAATAGTTCGGAATACCCTGGGGTCCAATTGCCAATCGCTGGCGTCCCGGAGGTGTCGTGAATACCAATCTGCCGTGGTGTTGCAGAGCCCGGGAATATACTCCGCTGTCACAGAAATGCCTTGAGTCAGGCAAAACTGCCAAAAATCTCGTGCCATGTTCGCCAGGACCTTTGACTTCGTGCCCCCCAGATGGTTGATATATCGGACTGCCGATATATTGTCCATCTTCAGAAGGATAGAGCATTGTACCAGGGTCGGTGAAAAGCTGCGGATCGCAAAGGATCCTGCCAGGAGTTCCAGGCAATTGATGTGGAGTGTAGCTTCGCTGTTGGACCACCTGCCACCTGTAGAGACGTCTCCACAGCGAGCACCCCAGCCGTGTAAACTCGCGTCTGATTCTATTACCAGATCTGGTGTGGTGCCAAAAATGGCTCGACCATTCCAGGCTTCCATATGGTAGAGCCACCATGTCAGTTCGTCCTTCGCTTCCGAGTTCAGAGTGATCAGATCCGTGTAGGCGACTCCGTCTCTCAGGTTGGCAGCGTGAAGGCGTTGTAACGCCCGGTAGTGGAGCGGCCCCGGGAAGATGGCTTGTATGGAGGCCGCCAGGAGGCCAATCACCCTTGCCAACTGTTTGATATTGTTCAGTTTCGACATCGGTAGATGTAGGGTCTGAGACGTGGCGTCTACGATGAGACCCAAGAACTCTATGTGCCGAGTGGGAGTCAAGATGGATTTGTCCCAATTGATGAGGAAGCCTAAGTTCTGTAATAGGGTCTGAGTCCAGTTCAAATGGGTCCGTGCAATTTGGGCGGATTGGCCCATAATGAGGATGTCGTCCAGATAGATTATAAGACGCACTCCTCGGCTCCGAAGAAAGGCCGTCACGGGCTTCATGAGTTTGGTGAAGCACCACGGGGCCGATGACAGCCCGAAAGGGAGACAGGTGAACCTCCACTTCTTGCCCTGCCAGATGAATTGCAGGAAATCCTGATGGTGACGGGCGATCGGCACTGTAAGATAAGCGTCTTTGAGATCCAGTTTCACCATCCAATCCGCTGGTTGGAGGAGATCTCTTAGACAATGTATCCCTTCCATTTTGAAATGGTTGTAAGAGACGTAAGTGTTGAGTTGTTTCAGATTGATCACTGGGCGGACCCCTCCGCCTTTCTTGGCAACCAGGAACAGGTTGCTGACATAACCTGCCGTGGCCATTGGGATTTCTGAAATGGCCTTTTTGTGGTGTAAGTCTGAAACTTCTTGGGTGACCAGGGTCTTGTCTGCTAGGGAAAAAGACATTTCTCGTGGTTGGGAGAATTGCACGGGTAGGGACAGGAAATCTATTGTATATCCTTTTATGGTGTATTCTGACGATATGCGAGCCCACATGTGGGAAAAATGTCGGAGTCTGCCCCCCCACTGCCCATAGGGAAGAATGTAAATTGAGAGGACTTACCGTAAGGTCGTCGCCCGGAGTGGGCATTCCGTGGTCCACGGGCAACCCATGGCCGCCCACGCTGTGGGAAGAACGCCGGAGCGTTGCGGTGTTCCGTGAAACTGGCTCGTCCCGTATAGGAGCCTCTGTTCTGTCTAAAAGAACTTCTGTTAACTCGGCCGGACAGACGGCTCCTTGCTCTTCTGGCCCCACCAAAAACCTTGGGGTGAAACACCTTGCGCATGTTGGATTGCGCCTTATCTAGGGCAGTAAATGTATGGACAAAGGAGCCCAATTCCTTGACAAAATTGTCTCCGAATAGGAGACCCTTAGCTTGGGCGCCCGGTTCGTTCAGGGCCATATTAACCAATTTCGGTTCTATTTTCAATAGTATCACCTTGCGGCATTCCGTGGCTATTGCCGTGTTGGCATTGCCAATCAGGCAAATAATCCGTTGGATCCATCCATTTATGGCGGCCCGATCCAACTCCTGGTCATCTTGGACCACTTCGAATATTTTGGTAGCTGGGCCCAGGATGTCCAAGACCTTGTCTTGGCAATTGCGTAGGGCAAACTCCAAGCCTTTGTTGGGCTTCCAGCCTGTCTTTCCCAAGAATTGGGTAATCTTTGGGTCAACTGCAGGTGTGCTGCAGGCATCATCTGGGACTGTGGGGCGCGGGCATTCTGCCCGTAGTTTATTCCGTGTCGCCTTTTCTAAAGGCTTGCGTACCCTAGACGCTATATATTTGGCCACATGTTCTTGGGGGGACCATTCTGCCGACCGTGGGTGGCGTAATAGGTCGGGATCAAACAGGGGTTCACCATGTTGGTCCACAATCATATCTACATCCCCTTGTGCCTTGTGGTCTACAACAGGCATGTCCGACTGGAGCGGACTGTAGTCCTGAGAATGGCCGTAGTCCCCGGCCGGGCAATCTGAGTCGGGATCCGATGGATCTTCCGAATCTACAGAAGCCTCCTCCTCAATGTCGCTGAGATCAGACTCAGAATCAACTTGGGCCCTTGCCCTTTTCCACAATCTAGCCGATTTTGCCCGGCTAGTGGCTCTTTTGCGCGGTTGTATAGACGCGCCATCTGTGACAGGTGCATGGCTGTCCATCTGTGGCATTGAGGAGTGTTTCATTTTTGCCAAGGCCTTGCGGCCGGTCTGAGGTTGTAAAGGAGTTGTGACAGGCACAATCTGGGCCGAAGTCGGTTGCGCTGATTTTTGCGCCTGGATTAGGGCATGTGTAAGTGTCTGGGATATGGAATCAGACATTAGTCCCATGGCCGACATGAGGGCTTTAGTCATAGCCTGTGACATGGTGTCATCAATCAAGGTCTGCATAACAGCAGGGGTATCAAGCTCAGCGGGTGGAACCGCCATATCATCACATACACCTGAAGGTGCCTGAAAACCAACCTTGTCAGGGTTAATAGACCCAGAGGGAGCATTCTTGTCAGAAGGCATAATTATGACAGTGACTGACAGGATTATATCCAGAAATATATGAATCTGAAATATGATAACCAGCCTGTTGGCAACAAAACCTATAGGGGAGGGTTGAGTAACCCTGTAGGAGGGAATCTACAATATTTGACAGAATGTATGAAGGAAAAAACAATACAATATAATAAAGTGTTCACACTCATAGAAATAATACAGGTACCATAGAGATAGAAAGCCGTCCGACCGCCACTAGCACTAGCTCCCAACTCAGAGTTCCGGTCTGTGGGGGGCAGTGCTAGTGGCAGGGCGCGGGAAAGCACTAAATGGCCGCCGCGAGCAGTGAGAAAATCCCGAACGGGGAAGGGACAGAAGCGTTTGCATAGGCGAACGTCTGTATCAATGGAGGAATGCGTTCGCGGAATTAGACCGCGAGAAAAACTGGTAATGGGGATTCGTGGTGCAAACGCAATGCCTAGAGTGCGTTCGCATCAAATACCCGAATGCGGGTATCTAAACAGCGGGACAAGAGGTGAATGGGTGCAGGGAGGGGAGCGCGCGCGCAACGGTCGGACGGGGTTGGGAAATAGAAAAAAACCCCGAGCACGGTGAAAACTTACCGGCTCAGGGTTAAGGAAGCCAGTCAAATGACAGGCAGAAACGTCCCGTTAAGCTATGAGGGAACTAGCCGAAATGGGAGGCAAGAAAGGGGGGAACAAAGTTCAATAACCCTCAAAAGTTTAACCAGCAATAGCAAGAACACATAATATTAAAGCAATTTAAAGGAGTAGTATATTAAAACAATTTAAAGAAGTAGTATTAAATAAATAAATAGCAATATAAACAGCAATATAAAATGTAAAATGACGATCCCACAGTTAAGAAACCATGGGATCTGATGTTACTTAACTGAGGGAGCAGCAAAGAAAGAGGAATTGGATTGGTTCACAAAGCCTATTATGCTGGAGAGTGGAATCCGATTGGCTGTTCCTGTTTCTAGGATACTCCTCTCAGACTGTTTATTGTTAACTTTGATTACGTTTTAAAAAAAAAAATTTCTTTGCTGCTGAGGGAAAAGAAAGAAAGAGTGCAGCATAATAGGAGCCTCCGTGTCTTAATAAAATTTGTTTTGTGTACTCCTGAATTGCAAGGAAGATGCAGAAAGCAGCTATTAGCTGATTGTTTATTTTAAGAGCCGAGTAGAAAATTAAGAAAGTTACCTTGTTGAACAAATTGTTTATAAAATGAAAAGTTTAAGGAATGTATTTAAATGTGTATATATGTATATATGCTAAGTAAAGGATTTGGCAGTATACGCTATAAGTGACTAGGAAAAGTAATCCTGATCTGTTTTTTTTTACCTTTTTCAGATATAGCAGAAACCAGGGGTGGACATTGAATCACAGATAGAATACCAGATGGAGACCAGTGTTTAAATGTTGACCTATGATTAGCTATTGAATGTGTTTTATTTTATTGTGTCTATTTAACATGTCTATGCTATGATTTTGTGCATACTATTCTCTTATTTTTAATGATTGTATTGCATTTGAAAACTTGATGTATTGTTGTTGCATGTATGTATGTATTTATGCTTGCCTGGGAAAGGGGGAATTGACCCATAGGGACCAGGGGGTATTTGTGTAAACAAAACTGGCGTGGGAGGGCTCCAACGAGGGAACCCCATTGTCCAGTAGGTGCTTGATTTGTGACTCTGTAAAGTGCATGAGTGGACGGAAGAGTGACAAGAGGGATAAGAGAAAGTACGCATTTAGGGTTATCTATACATGTTTAAATAGAAGGGTGGTAAATTGGAATTTATTTTGTTTTGGTGGGTGTTTAGGTTAAATTGGTTAAATACGACAGTGATATTGTGTTTATCTGTGAATCAGGAGTGCGCTGGATGTGAAGAGAGAATTCTCAGGAGGTGTGTAGGTATTTACCTAACGCCATAGGGTAAATATAGTTAAGACACCACAGTCAAATAATACTTGTGATAATTGGCACAAAGTCATCTGCCATTTATGTTTATGTACGTCATTGCCTGTGTTTTCATTCAAGAACTTTCCAGCAAGGAGCTTTTTTATTGCAACTCATGAACCAGAAGAAGAAGAAGCTCTGGACACTCTATACTCAATTGTTGAAGAAAAATATTGCAGCTGAGAGTGATGAGAGTAGGGACAAAATGCATCAGGAGCAGGAAACTGTGTTACGTCAAGGTGGTAAATGGAATGTGACCACAAAAGTCCCTGAACACATGAAATGTTTTTATGAGAAGAAATACTGAAGCTGAGAGTGATGGGAGTAGGTAAAATAATATATCCAGAGCAGGATACTGTGACAAGTGACCACAAAACACACAAAAGTCCCTGCACACATGAACTGTTGTTTTACAAAATCCTACGTCCTTGTTTGCTCAAATTATTTCATTCATCCCTGTCTACATGTGTATGTTCTATGAGACTGTCCAAGAAGGGAGTATCCAGTTTCCAGAACTAATGTTTGTGAAAATGCCAGGGACACAGACCAGCCATGGGCTACAGAAAACGAGCTCCAGTGACTGTCCATCTGTGTCATGATTCACAAGTGTTATAGGTTGGTCATGTCTAATGCTATATTAAGCTCCAAAACACATCCTCACATGAACACAATATCATTGGTTAAACTAATAAAACATGGTTTGAGTTGTTCATTATTATAAGGGTGGGTATGTGCCTACTTTAGGCCAAGGTTTCCCAACTGGTAATGCATGTGCTCAATGGTGAACATTTATATAAGCAATAAAATGTTAATGGGTAATAATAAATTGGTATCGTTGGTGGGTTTTGTTGTAGGGCAGGTAGTGTTAAAATGGGGAAGATTCAAAATTTACTGGTTTTATAAATGCTTGTTTTATGACATAAGTCAAAGGGTGGTTTGTAATGGTATTTATTAATTAATGACTTTACATCATAAAGAAAGCATATTTAGTGTAATGCTTTGGGGGCACCACTAGGGGGAGTGTGTAGGAAGACATGTGCTTCTGGCAGTGACATCACAGGCCAGCCTACTTACACTGAATAAAAACCAGATGTAGGAGAAACTCTGTCTCTTTTTGCCTGTACCTGACTGATCATGTAGTACCAGCTCTGACTTAGCCCCAGCCCTTTGGCTGGGGCCTTGTAAGTAATATGAATCCATTGTAACAGTTAGCAATTGTAATAGCCTTTTGTATAATATTTAGCAACCAATAGCGTTTTGTGTAGTATTGTATAATTATTGTGGTAAATTGACATTCCGCTAGCATCTGTTTATTTATTATAGTTATATTAATAGCCTTTTGTATAATATTTAGCAACCAATAGCGTTTTGTGTAGTATTGTATTGTATAATTATTGTGGTAAATTGACATTCCGCTAGCATCTGTTTATTTATTATAGTTATATTAAATATACATTTAATATTACAACGTTTTGTGTATTTTCTATCCACATATTCGACCATAATACCATGAATTATAAAAATATTAATGTTGTTCCGTATTGCTTAATTATTATGTATTAAGAGATTAATATTCATATTTAGGTCACGACCACAACAAGGGGTTACATCTTTTGAAGCTGGGACCCCCACAGAGGTCAGATGACAGAAGGGGTAGTATGAATGGCATAGGAATGTGAAAAGGATTTTACTATATGCATGTGAAGTAATCAATGATCTGCAAGGTGTGAGGTTCTACACTTGGAAAAAGTCTGAATGTCTCTTCATCCATTTGGCATGTATCTTGTAAAGGATAGTTCAATCCTTTGAAATTGTAATGGGATTCGTTTCATGAAGATCCTTGTGTTCCAGTATCTTATCCAAGTGAAACATTCAAACTTACCCACAGGTTAATAATTAAGCCTCATTTTTATTATATTTAGAATGGGACAAGCCCAATCTTTTAATTAAGCCCAAACATGAGTTGCACATCTTAAACCGTGTGGCAGGACTTGTGATATCCATCCTATTGGATCGTGGGTGTGGCGTGCAACATGTCTTTGGAATGGGAAAACAATAACAAATTCATAGAGGCAATTATTATTTCTGTGGCAAGTACAGTAGAAGAGATAAAACCAAACGTTTGTATGTGGGTTGTTGGTTTCTGGAACAAAGGAGGTGGTCACTTAGTATCCCTATTGCTCCACCTCTGGATGAGGCGTGGCAATTCACAGGGTATATCTCCTGTGATTCTGAAGGGTGTTTGTGTACTTGCTTGGGGCCAAGATCTAATTTTGAGTGAGTCACCATCTTTCCTTGCCAGAGACCCCCTGGACAGAAGTTGTACTTTGAAAACCCAAGTGAGTAATTAGGACTTTCTGTATTTTATCCTTTTTGTTTTTACCTGTTGTTGGTGTAAATAATTTGTTTATCATATATTTTTATATGCACTGTGACTATCTTTTGCTCATAATAAACATTCATTTATTAAGTTTTGCCTTTGTCTGGTTAAGAATCACATTACCTGAAGAGACTAGTTAGTATTTTTGCAATAACTTAAATATTGTTCTAAGTAATATTTGGTGGGTTTTATTATTGATTTACCTGGGGGACCAAGGCACCCCATTTATAAATTGTCTTGGTGGTGGCAGCGTTAAAATAGTAATAGTTATATTATTATGTTTAAGTGTGGGTGGTTTTTAAAAGGGGGATTTTGTCATTATTTCCGGTCTAGTGCAGACAAATAGTGAACTTTAACCCTTTCACCACCACAACTACGTCACGCGCATTCTTGGAGTAGGGTGTGTTCGTGACAGTGATAGCATATAACCATAACACCAAGTATCAGTGAAGAGGTTTGTTGTACAGAATGCTATGCATTTAATGTCAGTAGTGTAAGGACAGTACCCCCGGGGTTGGAACCCATGTTGGACCTGTAGTACTGGTGCATCCCAATCATCAGTTCATGTGCATTAGAGCATAACAGACATCCCAACATGCAAAAATGCATTTCAAAGAAGGTGGCTTCACCAGCTACTGTGCATCTGCCTACAAGCGCATGCCCCCCTTCCCCACACACAGCCACCAAACATATATGAACACCTTGACACACAGATACACTCACTGGCACATACACACACTTGCACATACACTCAAATACACACACAGGTAAATACACACACTGGCACACACTAGTACATACACTCAGATACATACATTGAAACACACTCAGATATACACACTGTCACATACATTCAGATATACACACTGTCACATACATTCAGATACACAGACTGACACAGATAGTGCATGTAGTGTGTGCAGTGTATGTTAAGGGCTGTGAGGGGTGATCAATGTTTCTTAAAATGTATAATTACGTTTATTCTCCCCTCCCTGCCTTTTACCTGATTGTTAGGGTAGTGTAGGGGTGGTGTAGGGTTAAATGGTTAGTATTCATGTAGTATATGGGTCAATGTTTAGTGATAATGTCACAGTGTAGTGTAGAGAGTAAACAGTTAGAGCCTGCTGTAGTGGTTATGACTCCAGGAGTACCCATAATGATAATCTTTAGTGGTAATTTAGTGTAGGGGTTAATATCTAGTGGCAATGTTTAGTGATAATATAGTGTTATGTAGGGATTAATATTTAGTTATAGTGTTCACTAATAGGGGAGGACATGAGGGTCCAAGTGCTGCCTGAGATTAGTGGGTGTTACAGTTCTGTACGCAAGCTATTTCATCTGCCTTCAATAAAATGTCCTGGATCTGGTTGCGATTAGGGCTCCCAGAACTGCATGGATGTGATCAGGGACGTATTTGCCGCGAGG